GGTCGGGCACGCTGCGCCCCAAAGGCCGAAAGCGACCAGACTGCAACAACAGTTGAGACAGCGCGCAACTCAACTCGTCTTATTGGCACCATTCAAACAACAAACTCGACCCAGCGGCCCTCCGTCTGGCAGTCCGGCCGTCTGGCCGGGGGCATCGACGAGGCTGGGCCGGCCCACCTGCAGGGCCGGGCCAGGGCCTCAGCCAAACAGACCGACTCCGAGAGTCGTTCCCATCGCTCTGCCTCTCTCGCAAGGGTAAAGCACGAGGGGGTAACAACTGGTAAATTTCGTGTCAGCCGGATTACGGATTACCCCGGATTACCCCGGATTATCCCCAAATTACCTCCGGATTACAACCAAAATAATCCTGGATTACCCCGGATTACCCCGGATTACCTCCCAATTTGCTGTCAGCCGGATTCCAGAAGTCGTTACCCCCTCGGTAAAGCATCCCGTGTAGGTGCGAGAGAGACAGTGCGACGAAAGCGGTTCTCGGGATCACAGCCACGGCCTCGGCCAGCTTAGGTCAGCTGGTCTCGGTTGCACACTCACTGCACAGTCAGCCAGAAGACCGGTGTAAGCGGTCAAAATCCCGGACGGGTTTTGAAATCCAGAGTCACTAAATAGGACTCGAATACCGAACTTGTGACCCCACCTATGGATTCCTCTTCGAACGAGGGATCCATCGGTGGGGTCTCACGTCCGGTCCGAGTCCTTGTTAGTGACTCTGAAGCTCAAATCGCGTTTTGGCCGCCTACGCTGGGCTTCTGGCCCACTGTGGTCCATTTGCCTGGCCGCTGGGTCGCTCTCTGACGATCCCCGCCAAAAAAAAAAGAGTTTCATTCCGCTGTGCTTGTGGGGAACATCATCGCCGAGGCCCCGGGCGGACCTCTGCAGACTGATTCCGAGAGTCGCTCTCGTCGCTCTGTCTCTCTCGCACTCATGGGGCGTCCCCTCCAGGTGCGAGGGAGACAGAGCGACGAAGATGACTCTCGGAATCAGTCTGCTGCCTGCTGCCATCCTACGCGGGCGGGGCCAAGGCGGGGCCGCCGCCGCGTCGTCAAACGGAATGAGAAGCAAGGAGTGAGGCAGCGAGGCAGCGAGGCAGCTCAAAGGCACCAACCAACCTCCCTGACGGCCCAAAGACCGGTAGAAATGGATTATAAATAAAAGGAAAACCGGCAGGAATGGACAATAAAGAAAAGGAAAACACACGACAGGTTGCTTTTTGCTTTCTTTGCGGTGTCTGGTGGTTTTACCCGTTTTACAGTGCTGTGCCTCCTGTGCTGTAGCTAGTGTACCAACGGCCCGCCAGAGGCAAGCACCTGACACCGTAACGTTTCATAACGTTTGTCCGCTCAAGGCAGTTAACGCCCGTTAGCCCGTCGGTGAGAATGTCACCTTGCACTTCGAATCGCATGCCAAAGCTTGGCCGGGGATGGGGGGGCCACCCCGCACTACCAGTGCTCCCACGGCCGCAACAGCTGCACGGCCACCAACACCTGCAGAGTCGCTTTCGTCGCTCTGTCTCTCTCGCACTCGTGGGCGCCTCGCTGAAGTGTGAGAGAGACAGAGCGACGGAAACGACTCTCAGTCTGCTGCAGCAGCTGCCTGCAGCTCCGACACTGTCCGACACTCGGACATCGAAAGCAGCGAGGCGGCGAGGCGATCTGAACTGACCGGCGGGGCGGCGGCCTGGCCTGTCAGTCCGAGAGAAACCACTCTCACTACCGTCACCGCATCCCCGTCCCTCCCACTGCCACTCCCACCTGTGCCGGCCCCTGGCACGCCCCTGGCCCGCGGCCCGCCGCTCTCTTGGCGTCGCTCGGCGTCGCTTGGCGCCTCGCCGACGGGGAGCCCGTGGGGCCGGCGTGGCGCTGCTGGCCGCAGGCAGCCTGGGGCAGCCGCAGACCCCAGTCGCCAGGGCCCGCCAGGGCTGGGCCGGGGCCCTGAGGACGAGGAAGCCCCCGCAAGTAGCTACAAGCTCTGCGAGCTCTGCGGCCAGCCCCGCCGCCCCGGCTAGCTCAGGCGGCCAGTCAGGGCAGCCAGCCGCGGGCCGCCCGGCGGTCGACGCGATCCTTCACGCGGCGCCCACCGCCAGCCGAACACGCAGCCCGGGTCACGTGTCGTGTCGTGGAGCGGCCCCTACCTGACTTGCGATGCGAGCACGGCGTCGGCAAGCTTAATCCATGTGCTGGTGCCCGGCGGGCTGTCCGGCGGGCTGTCCGGTGGGCTGTCCACTGACACGCGCGGGGGTCGCGGACGACGGCCGGACCGCGCGCGCACGCCACTGGCGCACGGCACTGGCGCACGGCACTGGCACGCGACGCGGACGCAGCGATACGCCGGTGAGCCGGCAGACCCGCAACACAACGCCTTCCCTCGCCTGCCCCGTCTCCTCGTCCTCGGCCTCGTGCTCGCAGTGGCAGGACCAACGCAAGACTGAGGCGCGCGGCGTCGCGGCGGCGGCACCACAGCGGCGCCCCCGGCCCCCCGAGCCCCCGCCCCCGCCCCCGCCCCCGGCGCAGCGCAGCCAGCCCCCCACCCCCGGGCCGAGCCGCCAGCTGCAACCGCCGCGACCCTAGACCCCCCGCCGTGCCCCGCCCTGCCTCGCCGTGCCCCGCCGGGAGACAAGCGCCCCCCATGAGCCCCCCATAGCCCCCCACACAGACCAACGCCACTTGACCCAGTGACCCCGTGCGGGGCTGCCTGGCCTGCCTGCCGTACGGGGTGCCCTCCGGCGCGGCGTGGCGTGGCGTGGCGTGGCGTGGCTGGCGTGGCCTGGCGTGGCCTGGCGTAGCGTGGCGTGGCCTGGCATGGCGTGGCGTGGCCTGGCGTGGCGTGGCCTGGCGTGGCGTGGCCTGGCGTGGCGTAGCGTGGCCTGGCCTGGCGTGGCCTGGCCTGGCGTGGCCTGGCGTGGCGTGGCCTGGCGTGGCGTGGCCTTGCATGGCGTGGCGTGGCCTGGCGTGGCGTGGCCTGGCGTGGCGTAGCGTGGCCTGGCTGGCGTGGCCGGCTGGCCTGGCGTGGCGTGGCCTGGCGTGGCGTGTGCCTGGCGTGGCGTGGCCTGGCGTGGCGCTGGCCTGGCGTGGCTGGCCTGGCGTGGCCTGGCGTGGCCTGGCGTGGCGTGGCCTGGCGTGGCGTAGCGTGGCCTGGCCTGGCGTGGCCTGGCCTGGCGTGGCCTGGCGTGGCGTGGCCTGGCGTGGCGTGGCCTGGCGTGGCGTGGCGTGGCCTGGCGTGGCGTGGCCTGGCGTGGCGTGGCCTGGCGTGGCGTGGCCTGGCGTGGCGTGGCTGCTGGCTGGCGTGGCTGCCTGGCGTGGCCTGGCCTGGCCGGCGTGGCCTGGCGTGGCGTGGCCTGGCGTGGCGTGGCCTGGCGTGGCGTAGCGTGGCCTGGCCTGGCGTGGCCTGGCCTGGCGTGGCCTGGCGTGGCCTGGCCTGGCGTGGCGTAGCGTGGCGTGGCCTGGCCTGGCGTGGCGTGGCGCAGCGTGGCCTGGCGAGGCGTGCGCTCCACCGGAGCTGCAGGACGAGGACCCGCCACTCTCGCTTTTGTTAATATACAGCAGCCAGGCGGCATGCTAATTCGGGCGTGTGTTTGTGAATGCACATTTTTAGCAGGTGATGTATGAGATTGTCGAGAGAAGTATCTGCGTAAGTGGATCAGCTTTCAGGTGTGGTTGCAGTAGTAAGGAGACGTGACCAGCAACCACCGCCGTGAGACCGCCACATGATGCCAGGGCCTCAAGCCGAGGTTCAAGTACAGTGGTTTGGAGGGTGAAGAGTTTTCGTTGACCGGTGTTCAACTCTTAACGACAATTGTCCTCTAAAATTGTTCTTGTTTATCTGTTGTTGTTGTTGTCGTCGTCGTTGTTGTTGTCATTCTTGTTTATCGGTTGTTATTATTCTTGTTTATCTGTTGTTATTATTCTTGTTTATCTGTTGTTGTTCTTGTTTATCTGTGGTTGTTATTCTTGTTTTGTTTTTGTTTTTCAGCAGGTGTAACAAACCCTGGCCGTTCTTTCCGCACCTTCTTGAAGCCCTTTACTATTCTACTTTTTGAACGAACGAAGTAAGAAGAGTGGCGGGCGGTGCTGCAAAGCTCGTGCTGAGTGCGGAAGGCGTGGAAGGCACGGAAGGCGCGCTCTCCCCCAAGATGCCCGTGACCCTCGCCAACGACGCCCTCGACCCAGGCGGAGCCAGGCGGCCCGCTAGCGGCCAGGAGGCCAGGCGGCGTCACGGCCCGGCGAGGCTGCGGGGCTGGCCATTAGTGTAGTGGACCGCCTTCCTGCTGTCTCTCTCGCACCTCTTCGGGGCGCCTGGGGGCGCGAGAGAGTCGGCCCGACGAGAGCACTTTTGTTCGGCCGCGCCCGCCACCATGCCGCCACCACCGCACGGCGCCGCACTCAGCCAGTGTACTGTACTACAGCCCCTTGCAACAACAGACCCAGTATATTAAAAAAATGTTTTTAAAAAAATTTAAAAAAGTTAGTATGGGTTTACATCATGCAATTTTATCTACTTTTTTCGTATGTGTGTTTTTTTTTTATTCTGATGTGCTACAGCTGCTAAAATTCTCACGGCGCTCGCACAACATTCGTTGTATGGAGAAGCGGGACCGGAAGTGGAGTCAGTTGTCTGAACTGCGCGCTATGCGCGCCAACAAGTACACCAAGTACCCCTCCCCTTCGAGTCCAGCACGCAACACGTGGAAGTGAAGTGGCGCGGGGCGGGGCGGGGTGGAGGGACTTGGGGGTGTCCGTCCACCACGGCTGCATCGACGCGCGGCCTCCTGCCGTGCCCACAGCAACCGTGCCAAAAGCCTTGAAATTTTAAAAAAATGGAGGGAAACGTTTGGTAGGGTCATTGATCAGTGAGGTCAGAGGCCGGCTGCAATGATTTTTGTCAAAATGCTTGTTTCGGTCCACCAAGGTTAGGTTAGGTTAGGTTAGGTAGTCAAGTAGTATATATGGCGCGGGGAGGGGGGAGTGAATTTTTATAAGAAGCAATCTGACTTCTAAAATTATTTATTTGAGTGTCACTAGTTGACTGAGGTACATACTATTAATTATGAATAACTTAAAAGATACTTTACAAACGACTGGACGTCACACGCACAAGCACACGCACAAGCACAAACTCACACACATTTGTCAAAATAAATAAAATAGAGAGAATGACTTTTTTTAACGATAAACATAACACCACGAGAAATACAGTGCACATGAAAATCTTCACGATGAGTGAGAACGCACTGTGGAAATACTGAGAAAGTTGTCCGTTCAATGAAAACGTCATCTCCAAACGATCAAACCCCTGGTTTCGCTAGGAAAGGATCTTGATCCCGGAAGTATAACCAACTGCCAAGTCCCACCAAACTGTAGAACTCTTCTTAACGTTGCTTCTAGTCTCTGTGTCACAGCGGGTTGGCTCCACACTGTAAATGTCTCACGGTGAAAGGCTGCACCAACAATATTATGGTGGAGATTTTCTCCATAATATACCAACGAAATTAGTCAAAATATTTATAAGATACAGTGAATTCTCAATGGTATGTTGTGAAGTCAGCTACACCACCATAATATGGAACATTTTCACCATAATATGGAGAATCTTCACTGTACAACATTTAGAGTGCAGTCCTGGCGCCTCAGAGCGCGTAGCCCGCCGAGTCGTACTCCGAGGAGGTCGCCGTCGAGGCCGTCGTCGCGGTGCCCGGTGCGGGCGGCGGCGGCGCGGGCCGCAGCGGCTGCACCTCGGGATCCTGGAGCTCCTGGAGGTCCTGGAGGTCGTGGAGGTCCTTGCCGTTGATGCCGCGAATCTCCTGCTGCCAGTGCGGGCTGATGTTGGTCAAGAGGCGGCTCTGGCGCTGCACCACTGTCGTGAAGTCGTCGATCTGGGGCTCCTCCCGGATGCGGTGCTCCACGGCGTCGCCGCGCCGCGACAGCCGCATCTGCGCGCGGATCTCCTGGCGCGCGGGCTTGTTGAGCACGAAGATGAGGAAGGTCCACACGCCCTGCAGGCAGTTGAGCGTGTCCGTCACGTACCTGGAAGGCACCATGACGTCAATGAGCATGCTGCCACGAAGTAGGTTTATATCAACACACTGCGACGATGACGTCATTGCAAAAGATGCTCCCAAGAAAGTAGGTTTAGATCAACACACCGCGTTGATGACGTCATTACAAAAGATGCTTCCACAAAGTAGAAAATTCAAGTCATTATAGTTGTTTCTACGTTCTTTCAACGTTATTTCTCGCTATTGCAACCAAATTTCACGTCATTTCAACCTTATTTCACGTAATTTCGACGTTGGTTTAACGTTATCTCTCGATATTTCAAGGGAAACTGGTGGGAACATTGCAAAATGTTTGACTGGTTGGCATCTCTGCTTACCAAATGTAGGACGGGCCGCCCACGTAGAACGACACCACCTCCATCACCCAGTTGAGGCCCATCGCGAAGAACAGGCAAATGCAGCTCCGGAACCTGGAAACAGTGCCACAGCCACACACGGCGAAAAACAAATCAGTACTCAGTGCAATAGGTATCCGTGGAAAAGAAATGATCCCGACGCATAGTGGGCCAGAAGACCGGTGGAGGCGGCCAAAATTCTAGACGCGTTTTGAGCTCCAGAGTCGCTAAATGGGACTCGAACCGAACGTGGGACCCCACCAAAGAATTGCTCCCCGAACGAGGAATCAATTGGTGGGGGTCACACGATCGGTTTGAATCCTGTTAAGCTACTCTGGAGCTCAAAACGCGCTCGGAGTTTTGGCCGCCTCCACCGGTCCTCTGGCCCACTGTGCGACGCTACTCCGCGTGAGAGTAACGCCGGTAGGGGAAGCGACCCCGGCGCTACACCGCGAGCGAAAGACTCTCGATGCCGGCCGAGGGGACCAGGGTCGCTTCATGCACCACAGGTGTGGTCCGTAAAAAGAACAAGCATCGATAGTACAATCTTCACGCGTAAACACGACGCTGGCAGTACCCCACGAGCCTAGATAATCCGTGTCGGGTCTCTCGCGCGCGGAGTAGCCACGCAGGTCAAACACGAAACAACTTTGTTCCTTTTTGCAGCAGCATGCTTCGCGTTCGCGCGCATTACCAAACCACCAGGTGCAGCGGCGGCAAACGAGAGCGGCGCAGTGGGTAATGGCGCCACTCGTAATCCGCTCACACAGCCTCTCTCTCTCTCTCTCTCTCTCTCTCTCTCTCTCTCTCTCTCTCTCTCTCTCTCTCTCTCTCTCTCTCTCTCTCACACACACTCACTCACTCACTCACACAGGTACACTCGCAAACACGCTCTCACACACACACTCACGCCGTGTTGGAGTGGCGCTGGAAGCAGGTGTCACCGGTGAGCGGCGTGGCGCTGGCGTTGAGGGCCCTCTTGCGGCGCTGGTGGTGCACGGTGACCGCCGTCATCACGAACAGCACCGCGTTCATCACCACCAGGAACGTGACGGGCGCGTAGAAGTACGGCAGCGCGGCGCGGTCCGCTGCGCGCAGAGGCGAAAGTCAAGGTCGTCCGAGGGAAATGTCACAGACTGGTCACACCCCAAAAACACGAAACACTCACCGTGACGTCAATGTGACCGTCAAAATGATGTTGTTTTGGTCGAAATTTTGACTCAAAGCAGTCATATTGACAACAAATGACGTCACGGTGAGCGTTTCGTGTTCTGGGGGTGCGTACTCACTCTGGAACCAGCAGAAGTCGACGCCGAAGCGCGGCTTGACGTAGGACGGCGGGATGGTGGGTGTCAGGTCCATGACCAGGGTGACGCCCAGCAGCAGGCAGGGCAGCGACCACGCGTACATCGAGTACAGCACGAAGCGGCGCCGCTCGGTGCGCCGGCACCACTTGGCGGCGGGCCTGCCGCCGAATCGGACAGAGAGTCAGTGGTCGGCGGTGTCGAACACTGGCGACGCCGCACAGTGGGCCAGAAGACCGGTGGAGGCGGCCAAAACTCTAGACGCGTTTTGAGCTCCAGAGTCGCTGAATGGGACTCGAACCCAACGTGTGACCCCACCAATGGATTGCTCTTCGAACGAGGAATCTATTGGTGGGGTCACACGTTAGGTTTGAGTCCTGTTAAGCTACTCTGGAGCTCAAAACGCGTCTAGAATTTTGGCCGCCTCCACCGGTCTTCCGGCCCACTGTGCGGCGGTGTTCGGCTTTTCAAGTCAACTCACCTCCAGGCCATGTTGTACCACGTGTTGATGCACATGACGTTGAGCCACAGGAAGCAGGCCACGAAGGAAAACTGCACGACGCAAGCTGGAGACATGACAATCGTCCACCAATCAAATCTCACGTTATGTTTGCGTCTTTTTAGGAAACACCACACGGGTAAAACTAAGGCGTAACATGGCGCCTTTCATGAAGCGTACAGTCCATAAACTCTTCTCTTGAAGCGTACAAGAGCTCCTTTCCTCCTATCAACGCAACTACACTTCAGTTTTACCAGTGCATGTTTCAAAACATGAATGGCGTCATGCAAGCCAAACGCACCGATGGCGAAGCAGAAGTTGCGGTTGAGGTAGGCGCCCCACAGCTGCACCGAGGCCAGGGTGAGGTCGGCCACGGTGAGGCACACCACCTGGCACATGAGCGCCTTGCCGTGGACGTCGCGGAGGGCCGGCGTCATGGCGTACAGTACGAACGTGGTGACCAGGAAGGGCACGGACAGCAGCAGGCCTGGACAAACCACAAACCAAAGCTCAGAGGGGGAAGTCCGGAACGGGTATTACTATGACGCAACCGCGACAATTTGAATTGGAATGTCACGCCGCCGCAAAGACACAGACACACCCCTGAGGCCCTGAGGCCCTGAGGGCGAGTTCGTTATCCCGGCGGTTATCCTCCTTAAGAGTCATCCTCGTCACTGGCAGGCTGTACTACGAACGACGCCACTGCATTCTTGCATTCTTGCAGGCACTCGTGACGTAACGTCGTTGCTTATCGCGCGGACGGAAATACCCCGATAACCTGTTGTACCCTGGCCTCTCAGTGTTCCTCTGGTTCCTCTCCGCTGTGTGGGCCGGCTGGAATTCGGCCACGTGCGAGCGCACGCGAATGGAGCTGTCCGTCTCTCTCGCACTCATGGCGCGTCCCGTGCGCAGTGGGCCGCACAGGCAAACTCTAGACGCGTTTTTGAGCTCCAGAGTCGCTCGTCCTCGTTCGGAGAGCAATCCATTGGTGGGGTCGCACGTTCGGTTCGAGTCCCATTTAGCGACTCTGGAGCTCAAAATGCGTCCGGGAGTTTGACCGCCTCCACCGGTCCTTCTGGCCCACTGTGCCGTGGCTGTGCGAGAGGAGGCTTACCGATCGGGTAGATGACGAACTGCAGGCCGGTGCGCTTGGGGCCCTCGGGCGGCGGGAAGCAGACGAGCGGCAGCACCACCACGTCGCCGTTGTCCGTGTCCGGGAACACGTCCATGCAGAACTCCTCCGTGGCCAGGGCGCGGTCGAACAGGAAGGGCGCCACGAGGGAGCCGTTGGCCAGCAGGTAGAACTCGTCCCTGCTGTCCACCTGCGGCTCCAGCCGGAAGCGCCCGTACCTGGGGGCACACCGTGCACACACCGCGGGTTAAACACCACCAGGGTTCAGGGACCACCAGGGTTCAGGCACCACCAGGGTTCAGGCACCACCAGAGTTCAAGGACCACCAGGGTTCAAGGACCACTAGGGTGACGTCACATTCGTTAGAATGTGAATTTTGTCACTTCGTTTGAATATGATGTCACATCCGTTCGAATGTTGATCCGCGTTTAAACGAATGAGGCTCCCGCATCAGATGGCCGTGTCACGTTCAAACGAATGTGACATCGTACTGAAACGAACGTCGTGCCAAAATTCACAGCCCTAATCTCATGGCATAACAGCGCTGTTAGGATTGGAACGACAAAAACAAGCCCGTCGGGCGCCTCGGGGAACTGCGAGGGGAACTCCGCCTCACCTGCAGGGGTTGCCGACGATCATGTCGTAGCCCTCGGCCTCCGTGACGATGGTCTCCTCCGGGTACTCGTCCGGGGAGTCCTCGTCCATGTACTGCAGCGAACCGTCGATGGTGGCCTCGGACAGCTCCTCCTCGTACTCGACAAAGGGCGGGATGAACTCGAGGGGGCTCTCCACGCACTTCTTCTTCTCGCTGAGGACGCGCTGGCCCGGCGGGCAGCACTTGGGCACGATGGGCCGGAAGGGCGGGTCGGTGCTGTTCGTGGGCGGCGGCTCCGTCGTGGTCGTCCTGGTCGTCGTTGTTGTAGGCGCTGGGGTAGTCGTGGTGGTGGTGGTAGTCGTTGGTCTAGCGGTGGTGGTCGTGGTGGTGGTGGTGGTGGTGGTGGTGGTGGTGTCGTCGTCGTCGTCGTCGTGGTGGTTGCAGCGGTGGACGAGGCCGTCGACGGCAGCGTGTAGTTGAATACCTCCGCGTCCTCGTCCACCGCGAACGTGGTGGCGGTCTTGGTCTTCGGCACCACCACCCACTCCACGTCCAGCTTGGGCGACCGGGTGATCACCTCCGCCTCTTCCAGAGGCTCTGCCTCCTCGTCGGCGGCGGCCTCGGCCTCGGCGGTCTTGGACTTGCCATTGCCGGTCTTGATGCGTCTCTCCGCGACTGTCGGGCGTCTCTCTTTCTCGCCGGCGTCCTTCGGAGACTCGGCCGTCCCGGTGTCCTTGTCGCCGGCGACCTTGCCCTGCGGTGGCTGCGGCGGCGCCGGCGGCCCTTTGACGGGTGTGGAGGCGGTCACGTTGGCTGCCGCTGGTGGTGGCTGTGCCGGTGGCGGCTGGGCCGGAGGTAGCTGCCCTGGGGGCGGCTGGGCCGGAGGTAGCTGCCCTGGGGGCGGCTGGGCCGGAGGTAGCTGCCCTGGGGGCGGCTGCGCCGGCGGCGGCACCACGCTGCCTTGCTGCGGTGGCGGCGGCCGTGCGCGGTCCACCTTGTCACTGAGGGGTGGCGGCTGCGGCAGCCCGGCTGCAGCCTCCGGGGTCTTCCCCGGCGGACTCTCCACCGTCGAGGTGCCCGCCACCAGCACGGCTAGCAGCACCACCGCCACCAGGCGCGCGCGATCGCCTGCACCTTGAGCCATGACCGAGCTCGTCGGCGACCCACTCGGCAGTCCTCGGCCTCGGCCCCGGGGGATGCCGCACTGCCCCGCACTGCCGCTGTCGCGATGTGACGACACTTGCACCTACAGTGAGCCGCGACGCGTACAATCCAGGCCCTGCGTGCGTGCCGTGCCCCGCCGAACGTGTCACTAGGGCGTGCAATCCTGGCCCGGCGTCGCCCTGCGCGGTGCAGAGCCTTGCAGAGCCTTGCCCATCCCGGGCCTGCGCAGTCAGTCGCAGTCTCAGCCGCGGCCCCAGGCAGATAAGGGTCATGATAACGAGCCGGTGTTCGTGCCTCGCGCCTCGCTGCGTGTCGCGGGCACTCCCTGGCGCCTCGCTGCGCCTCGCCTGGTCATCGGTACGCGGAACGGCCGAATGGCCGGCAAGCGGCGCATCCTGTCTCGGAAGAAAGGACGGAAGGGCGGAAGCAAGGACACACTGTACACATCCGTCAAAAATTGCATTTATTCGAAACTTCATGCAACAAAAGTCAGTTCAGAGATAACAATACATCGCCGATAGGTCACCTTAATTCAACGACGAGTGCACTAACAACTAGGTATCTTGACAAGAAGTATAAATGCATAACGTAGAAAAAAACAATCATTGTTCTCTCTTCTTGCTATAAAAACCATCACATGAATTAGCATTACGGAAAGGACATTCGTCTGAACTGATTAGCATCCTCACCATTGTTTTGAACTAATAACAAAACGATTGACTAGGTAAAATCAAAACCTAGATACAGTATAAAATTTATTGAAATAATAATTAACAAACAGTTACCATACCAGCTGGTCTCATAAAACTATGCCTGTATTATCACATTTAATTAACATAGTACTTAATCACAGAAGCAATATCCAGTACACACAGAATACCTGCAGTCCAGTTACATAAAACTATTTAGTAACAATCAGATCAAAGGGTGGTACTTCAATCCTAATTACAAACAACATGACACACGCTAGTAGAAAATTGGCATAGTGGGTCAAAGAATCCAGCAGTCTTATAAAAAAAGAGTTTTAGCAGAAAAAAACTGGTAAAAAGAAACATTTACACAACAGAATCAGTTTTTCTCAGGTACCTCCTCTAAAGTTGAAGAAACTGAAAACCCACTAGAACTCAAAAAATTCCCGTTGGGGGCTCCATCACAGGAAGTGGGTAGATCCAGTTGCTGTGTGGCTGAACCGTTTGTTTGCTGCTGTTCATGTTGATCTCGAATTATCCAGCATTGGTCCCAGAAGTTCAGCAGCCTGTTGTTCTGGTTGCTACAGAATTCTCGGAAATCTTTGAGCATTTTGTTTTGAAACTGTTCATCTCCTGTGGCACTGTTTGGCCCTTTCCATCGGCGTGTAAGCATGTGATTCCAAGACCAAAGGAATCCAATCTGAAAAAGGATAAAAAGTAGTTAATATTTCTACAGCACTACATCTGTTTTGAGCAAATGAATAGCAGGAAAAATAAGAAATTCATCATGTCCTGACCTTGCGATCTGGTCCATATTCATCTTGGCTGTTGTTTCCACAGACATGCCTAGTTATGTATTCTTCATGGGGACTGGACACCATATCATGATGAGTTGGATATTCCACAGTCGGCTGACGCCCCATGGTCCGCCTCGACTTGCCATGTGAATTCATATCTTGAGCATGAGTGCGATGACATGGGGGTGAAGGTATTAGTAGGAACATATTACCAGTAATGTGAACATACTGGTGATGATGCCTCGTCTGTTCTTTATCAGCACGATTCATTCTGTTTGCCTGAGGGCTTGTTCCACGATTTTCCATTGCACATGCAATAAAGCCAAACCTCAATGCAATAGTCTCCTGGAAGAGTAAGAGACGCTGAGCCCAGGAGTCTTCCGGAAATTCTAGAAGTGGATAATAAAGCAACATAGATTAGAAAACAGTGTGTAAAATTAGGCCTCAGAAACAAAACATGAAAGATTAGAATTTTGCATACCTTGAAACAGGTAACTTTTGCTTCCCATCAAACACTCAGTGTCCAAGGGTACAAATACAGGGCCTCGCAAAGGATCTGATTTATGAGTGAATGGTAGGGCCAAGGGATCTGCAGGAATAGGTACCATCTGTAGGCTACAACTAATTGCCTTTCTGGCCCAACCTGCAATTATCTATTCCAAAAAATGATCAGTTAAACAATATTTGTTGGAAAAAAAATAAACATCACTGACTGGAAAAGATGAATAAATAACATGTGGTAATTACCAATTCAGCCACAATGGGCCCAGAGGCTGCTACCCATTGAACAACCAACTCATACGCCCTGTCTGGACGGAAAAGTGACTGATAGCGACAGTGACCCCATTCCACACGGTCACTTTTAGCATTAACATCAATCTCCAAATGAATATTTTTATACTGAGCAACTGCAAAGAAAGAAAAAGCAAAAGAAAAAACCATGTCGTACTAAAAGAGAAAAGTATTACTGCAGACAAGAATGAAAATTTATGTCACTAACCTCCATCTCCTTGGCACATTTCTTCCATTGTGTCATGTAAAAATTTCGGGAGTGGGGATAGTGGTGGGTATGTTGGTGGCAAAGTTGGAGAATTAGGTACATTGTCAATTGATCCTGTTGCGGACTGCACCCAGTTAGTTGGGTGTCTGACTTCCACTTCCAGCCACTCATTCTCAAAGCTCTGAATATCTCCTAATGGTGCAGAGCCAAAGTCACCATCTAGGAGAAATAATGAATGAGACAGACTATTATTATTATTTCCTAACCTAATGTTTTAAATTGAAATTTTACTTCATTATCAAGTGACAGACCTTTCTGTTGATCATAGTCAGGCACAATGTGGTATAGATAGAATCCAATCCTTAATGGGTGGCTAAAATCTCCTGACGCATGACAAATAAGTTTGTCAGTCAGCATTTTCTGAAACAGAATAAATATGAAACACATTCTTGACAAGTGTTCACAAAATAAAAAGCCATAGAGATCACATCACAAAGCTCTACTTCCTACATAACTAAGAAATGAGCAGTTCACATCATTTTTTTTTAAAAATACCTGAAGTACGTGTTCTGCTGCCTGCTGGTTCACAACCCCTTCAACATGTTTTATAAGCCACTGAACAGCGTCAGCACTCACAAAAGTCATGGCTGAAGTGTGGTGTTGAAGGAAGCCGACGCCTGTGTTTGGATTACGCATAGCATCTACAATATCACTGGTTGAAGCATTGCGACCAAGACGAGGTTCGGTTTGGGCAAGGCTGCGCAGAAAATACATTGTCAAATGCATGATTTTAAAAATTTTGTCCCCACAAAAATGATTTATGTTATCTCACCCATCTTCCAGCCAATCTTGGTGCTCATTGTTTCCAGTGAGATCAATAGAACCTTCTCCAGCAGGTGAAGCACGTCCTCGTTCCAGCACCTTTGATCCAGATCTTCAGAACAAAACAAAAAAAGAATAAGTTTTCTTACTCAGCATAACATACTTATATACCAGCTTTTATTGTACCCATACCTAAGAAATGACCTATCATAAAAAGAGAGAAGGTAAAGAAAGATTACCCATACCTTTATATTTTGTTACAAAGATCATGTTTCTATTTAACATAAAAACAGAGGTCATACTAGTATATCTGATTTTCTATTTCTTATTTTGCATGAAAATAATTCTAAAATATAACATCAAAAAAGGGCACAAAATATTAAACCATCTACAGTACGGAACTAGGTCTTTAAAAGCTAGACATTAAATCTTGTAAACGACTTGTAAATGAACAAGCTGCACTTGTGCTACAGTAATCAATAAATGAAAGAAAAAATGGACCTAGATTGAATTGGTTGGCGACAACCAACCAGCGATCCGCAAGCAAGTAAAAACATTGAAAAAATGGGAATAGTTTAAGAATTTTGTGAATGACTCAGAAGCACTCAAAGACAAAAAGCCAATATGCCTTAAGTCACAGTATAAGTCAGCTTTGCAGCCACACTGACCTTGGGTATAACCTTTCCACCAAACGTCCGGATGGGAGATGTTTGTCCTACGAAAAGTGAGCAGCAAGATGAAGAAACAAGCAAAGCAGGAAGTGATATCAGGAAAACACTATCAGTAACCAAATCACCATTATAAGTGCAAAGAGCTGTGCAGAAAAAAAAATAGAACCTTAAAAAAAACCATGCTGAACAATACACAAAGAAGAATGGGTGATAAGGTAATAGTCAAGAATGCAAATTGTTAAGAATTACTGTTGGTTTAATAGAATATAACGTCTAGCTTCTAAACTGAAGATACCAAGACTAATCAAAGGATAATTTAAGCAAGATGTTTTTTCCAGTGCTACAAATGGAACATAGGTAAAGCAAACACAGTAGATATTGGGAAAAAAACCATTAACAATTTGCAACCTTTTCCCTAACATTTTCTGCAGTTTCAACACACAGTTAGATAACAGAATTAAAGCATGTAAGTTGGTAAACCTTTTAGCATTAAAAACACAGCTCAAGATAAAGATGAGCATGCTGACTCTAAAAGAAAAAAATTATATGTACACACAACGGTATGTATAACTGGTAAAGTATATCCATGTTTTTGAAAATGTCCAATCATTAAACATTATTAATAGCAGGGTATCTAGTGAAAACAAAATTTGTGTTTGCAATCAGTGAACCATTGCACCCACAAGCAAAAAATACACCACCAAAAGAAAAATTTAGACACTGGAACAGGATGACTGCATGACATTTATTGATGAACCCCTTGGCCAAAGCTTTATGAAAGAAGACAAAAATAAAAATGGTATTTGAAGAGATTTTGTATTTTAAGGAAGAGATGATATTTTGAATGCCAAATCACATAAATGTTAGATGTGTATTGACAATGTTAGTGACAGGTAGAACAAATAATTTTGTTAGTGGTTTAAAGAGAAGAAACCACACAGGCTTCACATCTTAACCACAGAGAAATTTTAGCTTCTATGAATTTGGGTATAAGTTCTAACCCAATACTGGTTTGGACTTGGCAGAGCAAAAAAAAAAGAAACTAACAACTACGTAATTGCAAAGAAAATCGCACAGAACAGGCGACTAAATGACAGATAAGAAAAAGTGCTATTCCATGCAATCATGTTTGACAATGCACCCCTCATAATAACCGTAATACCAGTGGCTTTTACAAACAAAAGGCAATGAACGAAATTCCTTTCTCTGTTAAGAAAAAACAGAGTACACTTCACTGAGGACAATGAGTTATTCTGAGGGGTACAAACAGAAAAAAAGGAAGCCATTCTCGGGCAGCGTCAGTACAGCTAAATGTAATGCTTGAACACAAATGCACACACAACGCCACCGCAGAGGAACCAAAATTGGCAGCAACAAACCTCGGTCTGGGCTTGTCTGGTAGACGATTGCTACCAAGACGTTCTCGGAATGGAGAATTACCAACAATACTTGAGTGCTAAAATCATAAAACACCAAAAACTGTTAGGCACAAGTGGTTCTGGTGGAATGATTCCCTCGCTTGATCCTATTGGTATGAAATAAAGAACATAAATAGTATTTACAATTAATTCAGATAGCTATAAAGGTCACATACAAGATTACCTGACAAAATAACTAGTATAAAAGTAAAATGGTCATCATCAAATAAAAATACAACTACAAATTATTTGACACATCCATGCAATTAATACATGCAAACTTGAATAAAATTGACATATGTGCTACATAATACAGTCAACCCAACAAGAGACAAGTGTACCTTAAGACTGAAGATACTGACCAACAAATTGCTTGCAAAGGGCTGAGAAGACAAGAACAACATTTTTTCACAACAGAAGTAGGTACACACAAAATCGAGCAGGCTACTAAGAAAACAGAGTGAAGTTTGTCTCATACGACAAAGGAACTGTTCAATTTCAAGCTTCCAAGCAAAAAGCTTTGTGACAAAAGTGAAAAGAAAACATTGCCTGAAAAGCTAGTTTTAGAATATTTATCTGCATCATAATCTGACTTTTCAAAAAATATTTATATTTATAATTATCTAAACTTACCTTAACAGTAAAAACAGGTTCTTAATTTTAATTAAAAAAATCTAAAATATTCCATTTTTCTGGAAATCCCCATTATTCCTATGTAAAATAAGGTAACTAAGACTCTTCTCATGGGATTACCATAACTTATTAAATATAACAGTATGGTACAGCAATAACTGCCCATAGACAAGTGTTATACCTGAGACATGTTAGTTGCATGGTTAGCTGAACTACTATTGTGCGAAAGGAAAGTCAGGCTGGTGCTATGTCTGCGCCGAGTCAGGTGGCTCAACTGCAAGGGCAGCAGGGATACTTGGTCCTGTAACATGTATTTGGTTCAAAGATGTGTACAAGCAGAGAGAGCATGCAGTACAAAAAGTCATGCAGTTGAAATTGGAAATAAACATCACAGGCAAACAGAAAGCACAACTTGTATAAACAGTCAATGCCAGAGACATAAGTACTCTTTCATTGGAATGTTGGAACTCACTAGAAATAGCTTAGAACAGTTATATTGTGAGGTCAGTAGGAACATGTTCTTTTTTACAATTAAGTTACTAGAAATGAAAATATCACCTGCAGTATTACATTTGAATGTTTCAAACCAACGTGACCCACTTAGTGAGAATTTACACAGAACACTTACATGCTTGACAAAATGCATTACACTAGAAAAAAGTTACAAATTAAAATAATATAACAAAAGTTCAATACTGATGCAGCATGCAAAAACAAAACTACATAAAACAACCGTTTTAAAGGAAATCTACATCATGCTGATACTGTTTAGGAATGAATGCAAGTTTTTCTTTGAAAATGACTTTGCAACACTGATGTTCCACTCCAAGGCATGTTACTCTACTGAAAAATAAATCAAAATTCATTTTAAATTAGAATTCCAACCTTAACCAAATCAATACTTACTCGAGGTTTCTTGTGAGCATTTGGTCTTTTAATTCTATTCACAAATGTTTCAATAAAACGCAGGAAGTTTTTCACCATCTGTGACTGATCCTCAATAGAGGGAGGCACATAGATATCACAGTGCTCTGAGCCCTCTAATATCCGTCTTGTTGCCATTTGATTCACAGGTAACAAATAGACTCGGAAACGCCAATACTTCAATGCCTATGCAAAAGAGGGTAAGTTGACATCATCCAAAGAAGTACTCATCTTAAACACAGAGTGTAAATAAAACCAAAAAATGAACAGTACTTCAGCCAGAGCAAAATCAGTGTCCCCTCGAGTGCAAATGTAATGGTCTACATAGTTCCAATTGTAATTCTCCAACTTCTCTGAAGAGAAAGACACCCATGATACTTCATATGACTCATGGTCAGGGGCTTGGAAACGGTATTGGTACTTGAAGTTAAAAGGAGGATATGGATGCCTTAATAACAAAGATTTTCAGAATTATTTAACATTACAAGTGTATAATGCATAAATGTCATGATATGGAAAACGTTATACTGACCTCGGTCTGTAGCGTGTGACAGTTATACAAGATCCTTTCAAAGAAATTCGATGGAATACGCGGCCAATACTCAATAGGTACTCTTCACTTGGGTCCATATCTGTAGTCCGAGGGCCGACCACCAAGCTTGGGGTGGATGGAGCCTCTACCTTCACACCAGTTCCAACAGCCCCTGATGGAACACCATCTTTATTGGGCACTATAAGTTGAAAACCCTTTCCAAAAAAAGAAAAAGGGGTGTTAGTGCCACAGTCAATTCAATTTCTGGCAGCTATAGAGGTCTGAAGGTACCTGAGCCAAACGTTGAGATACTAGTTCTCTGAATACCTCCGAGGTAGTCAATGGTTTCTTGTAAATTGCTCTGCGTTGAGCAAAATCTGCATTTACATCGTCAGGTAAGAGATAGTAGTCTGAAACTACATAATCATTTTGGAGACTTCTTTTGTCAGGGAAATAATCAGTTGTTATCGGCAGACACGCTGATATGGTCAACGACTTCCAATCCACACCTGTCAAACACACATGGAATCATTCAGACATGCAGTTTTATTTGTGAGCAAAGAGAGGAGAGAGTTCATCAAGCTACAGCTACTACTTTCACAATTTTTTTGAATTTTTAGAGCCATGCAACATTACAAACCAGAACAGGCTCCAAGAAAAAGAAGGTACCCAAATATGTGTACCAGTATTTCATTCAAGAGAGATAATTTAAAAAATAGCAAATTGGCAAGAGAAGAAATTTTTCACTCCAATCTCATGTTAATTTTGTTCTGTCGCTCCTGACCTGGCATGCTTCAATGAAAAAAAAATTATCTAACATCTACCATAAAATTACCACAAAGATCTCCCACTAATCAGAGTACTAAACAAGAAAAACACACAACTGTGCATAAATTAATAGAAAAAAAAGAACTTTCCCAAGTCCCAGGTAAAAGCATATCTTAACTGGATGCAATGTCTGAAGGTGCTGAGGTATTGCTTGAGAGAAAGTTTGTGAAGAAAATCAAGAAAATGGTGCCAAATGCAGTACAATGCTTGAAGACTGATGCGTGTCATTGATCAAAACATCTATTGCACTGGCATGGTATGATTGTGATTCTGTGGTAAGATGAGGATGACGACAACATACCATAACAATCAGAATATAGGCTAAGTTTTGGGGCTAAAAAACAGCTGTAGTCGTACTGCCTACTTTTCAGGGTTATTTGCCTATAAAATTTGAGGGTACTATATTCAGATCATTATGGTAACATGAACACTATTTCAACACAACTACAAGATGACACAAAGGCCAAGCATAAAGGGTGATTTTTTTCTCCTTAAGTAAAAACCGTCCACCACTACTGCAGAAAAACCCTACTCCATTCGTTCTATACTAGAGCAAACTTACAATAAAACAAGCATGGAATGAACATGACCATTGAAGACTATCAATGACCTGGAATTTCCTGGTTAACTTTTATAGAAGCTCAAGTAGCTTTCAGCCTTTTCGATATAATCATGCTCATCCACTCACTTAACCCACCCCTCACACAACAGATGTAAAAAGGAGTACCCAAACATAAGGATGATTCTACACAAATACTAAATACATAACTTAAAAGCAAAGACTCAAACCTATTATTATTTTTCCAACTGATTTGATTCAGTAGACAGGCACACACGTTCCCATAGACATGGAAAGAAAAAATGAAAAAAAAAGAAAGAAACAATTACATCCACATTGTAAAATCTGCTGAACTGCACACCCTGAATGGGAACAATACAGATGGAGATATTAAGGCCAGCTAATTGCCTTAGCAAGTAAGAAAAAAATTAATTAAATTATAAAAAAATTATGTACATGGACAATTGACTTCATTGATTTGAAAATCCCCTGTTTCATAGAACAATAGCTCATACCTGTGGTTAAAGCTGGGGTCCACTCTTGTTCTCCTGTAGCGCCCCACAGTAAAGCCTTATTATTAGACGATGGGGCTATTTGGCATGGTAGCTGACTCCGCTCAGGCATTTGTGGCCTACCCAAATTTCTCCCTCGCACATCTAAATTAATAAATTTCAGAAGAATCAAAACTTTAGGTATACAAATTTAAAAATTTTAAGTCCTTGAAATTTAATGAAATCTACTCACGGTCTTGAAATGCTATTTGAGATGCTGATCTTGTCATACCTCCTCCTCTACTGTTAAATTTTAAACCCAAATCTGTGATTGGGGACGTGCTGCGGACTGATACCACTTCATGTGACTGACCATTCATCCCCTGCGACTGACCACCTAGCTGGACTGAATTTTGCTCTTCATTGGAGGTAAATGTTGGCACAGCTTGGTAGTGGTGTTGCTGTATTAGTACACCTTCTGGTCCTAAATCAAAGAATAAAAACATTAACTTGATTCTCATTACAAGAAGCAAGGGAGGAGAGCATTCGGAAGTACCTTTGGGAAAGATGTGTGTCCATCGTCTCCTATTGGATGTTAACTTAATGGTCACATGAGAGGGATCGAATGGATTTATGAGAGCACGGCCAGGCCTCAGAACAGTGGAGCTCTGAGGTGGAGATGTAGGCGAAATGGGTGATGTGGGAGAACCCATACTGCCAGCAATGACCCTCAAAGGAGGAGATGTCTCTCCTTCCAGCAAATCTTCCAATGCTCGATGCTTTCCTGAATTAAAAAAAGTTACATTAACCATTAAAAGGGGCTATGCATAATTTATTCTTTGTATTTTAGAGCAACCTACCCTTAGCTATATCGACAAACCCTTCACCATCATTTGCATTGACTGACAATGACGGTTGAGGGGAACTGTTGTTCGATCGAATTTGGGGTATACTGATTGCTGCTGACCGTGGAGTCAAAGATGACCCAAGAACAGGAGAAGACCCCAACAATGTTGACAACGGGCTTGCTGGACCCACACTAGGCCCTCCACTGATGAGCTTGGGACTGGTCATCATGTGGCTGTGCCCATTCGTGGGAGACCCAACAAGAATTGCCTGAATAGGAATTGCAAGATAAACAACAGGAATGAATGACAATGTGAAGAACCGTGTATGTTACTCTCAATAGACTATAATGATAATAGTAATAATACATCTCCATTGTTGATGTGATGAATATCTGGGTCAGATATTTTACGGCGAAGAGATTTTGGGTGGTGTTGCATACCGTTTCCTGTTATGCTCACGCTCACTCCACCATCGAGAGTAACACTTCCTTTCTTATGGCGGCTAGAGGCCCTTTGCAGTTGACGAGAAAATCTGCATGAAAATTTAGAGTGTCAATATTGGCAATAGTTTGAAACAAGAAAGGCTATGGAGAAACTAATCCAATGACTGAACCTTGTCGTATGAAGAGCAGGCAACTGAAAAACTTGGCGATCATATGCATCATAATCAAATGGGGACTCAGGAAAGTATTCTTCATCAACAAGCTTAGTTTTTGGAGTAGTAGGTGTAGTAGGGAGAGCAATTCCATCGCCTGGGGCACATTGAGACTGAGATGACTGAGATCGTGTTCTTACACGACGTGGTGGCAATTTTATGCGGGGCACAAAATTTGAATACGCCACCTTTTTGTTGGTTGAGTAGAAACTGGAATAGAAAATGAAAGAATAGGTCAAATGATTCCTGACAAAGATTACCCAGTAAGGGGAATGTAGAGTCCACTGTACCTCAGGTTTATCCAATGGGGCATACTGTAATTATCCACAGCACTGATAGATATATCTTTGTTGTGGAACTGAAATAATTAACAAGTTAACACAGAAAATCGCTATGAGTCTCTGAATGACTAAATATTTTGTCTAATCAATTCAAACTGAACTGCTACAAACCTTCAATAATGGGACAGCATGAAGAGGTTGTTCTCCCACACATACAAGATCACTCCCAACGCCATTATCAATTATACGTTGTTTGGTGATGTTGGTGAGTTGGCGATCTACCTCAAACACACCAACACCAGGAGTGATGACAACAGAAAGCTGCCCAGTGCGTTCGAAGCTACGGTCTAGGTAATGCTTCTCAAAAACTGAATCAAGAAAATTAAAAATAAATGAGCTGATTTTTGCGATGGAAAGATCCAACAGAGTCAAAAACATACAAAAGAGGAACAGTACCATTTAGAGACATGTTCAGAACTTCCAAGAAATTTCCTTGCGCAGCGGTAGAGTTAACTGCCTTGGGTATCTCAATGCCTGGTCTTTTGTGGTATTCTAAGACAAGCCTTTGGTAATCCATAAACAGCCTTCTCAGCTGGACGAGTGTACTACCCCAGTCATCATACCTCTCATTCTGGACAGCAACCCTAAATTGAAAAAAAATCAATTAAAAGGATACTTTTAAAATATAATTGTTGTGCAACTTAAATAATAGGCAGTGAGACATACCGATAAAAATCTTCATAAAATCGGCCTTTGTAGTCCTTCTGCAGGCAATCCCTCATGTGTTTAGGAAATTCATCTAGACTATTTGCTTTATAAAATGTTCTTGAGAAAAGAACAATGGTGACTTCATGATTACTTCCGTGTTTCTACAAAATAAAGACAAATTAGATGCCCCACTAAGCTACTAGACACTGTCTTCTTATAAATAACAATCAATCACAATAATTTACTACCTTCCATTTATGGAACAAGTCAGCAAGGAATCCATTGACTGCTTTCTCGAAGTATAGATCACCATGAATATCAAAATCCCACATCTCAGAGCTCATTTGCAGAAACAAGTAAACCATACTTGTTGAAGACCTGAAGACAATCTAAAAAGACCAGAAGACAGATTGAGATAAATCATAAACTTAAATATGGCTGGGAATGATTTCCAGCTTAACTTACTTTTGTGTTCTCCGTTATGACACCACAAGCAACTCGCACCCCCAAGGACCACATTTCATAAACTTGACAACGAATGTAGCCTCCACAAAATTCAATCTTCTTGTTCAGATAAATACAAGTATTGATCTGAAAAGTTTTATTTAAATTGTCAGATATAGGATAGAAGGAGTGAAGAGTGTATAATTTTGTGCTTCAAATTTCTTACCAGGCTATTTTTCAAGCGCCACATTTCACTTCGGCCCATATACTGGTCTTTAAAAGTAAGTTCAACTGAATCCAAGCCAACAGTTTCTGGCTCAACAATCCGCATACATACATCGACATATTTACGAAGTTGAAATGCTATGGCAATACTTGACTCCACACTGATTGTTTCTGAAACACGACAACAATATAAATAAAATTAAATTTACAATACATGTTACTGTAAAACAGGCACAATTTTTTACCTTTTCCTTGAAGATCTTCCTTGAATGTTGTAACTTGAAGAAGCAATCGACTGAACTCATCTTCAGGGTGATAAATCTCTACAATGTCACCTTTTTTAAATGACGGACAGTCTCTTGGATTTATGATCAAGTCCTCGGCTGTAAAATCAACAAAGATTAGGCGAACCAAATCAAAAACTCAAACGACCCTGTCCTAGCAGAAAAAAATTAAATACAATTAGAAATTTCTTCAGTGGTGAAACTTAAGACATTCATAAAAATCACGAACATTTTCCTATTGCATGAATGGAGATTGAGACCAGCTGATGGAAAGATGTGAGGTGTGAGGTTACCTGAGAATGTCTTTCACCTTCTCTAAGATAAACAAAAGCTATTTTACCTACAAAAATCAGTTTGAAATGATAAAGCAAAGAACTTACGGCTGAAAGACCTCTCGTGCACTATCAATTTGTAGTGTTTCATCGTCATGATTTGAGAATACCATTACAAATCAACACCATAACACCAACAAAGCAGCACGTAGCATAATTTGAGAACCTTCCTCGATTCAGTACGACACGGCCATCCCACCTCACCTCCCCCTTAGAACGTTTCCGAGTGTGACGTCTCGCTCTTTCTCTCTCTCTCTCTCTCGCATGACCGCGCGTTGCGTTTGAGTGCGAGAGAGAAAGATGCTGCTCGGATGCAGTCCGCAGGCTGATTCCGAACTCCCGAACACTACTTCGTCTCTCTGTCGCACTCATAGGACGTCCCGCACGAATGCGAGGGAGAAACCGTGTTCGGAATCGGCCCGGGCGCGGACTTGGTGCCGTACTGAGCTGAGGCACGTTCTCAAACTATGCGGGCGTCATCAGAAGACTTGACACTGTATCAAAATGGCAGACTGCGATAAAGACGAGTCCGACAATTTGGTAAGTTTCGTCATTATTTTTTACGAACGATCATCGACAACGTACCCCTAAAATTTTTAAATGCTCGTGGAGTAGTTGTATTCTGTTGTTGTACAGCCTCAGTGTAATTTCGAGTCCAAATGGCTAGCTGTGAATTCGCAGCAGACGAATTTTCCTTTTACATGTATATTTCGTGTAAAAGATGCTTGAAAAGCTATTGGCTGTTTTTCTTTGTTATATGAAAATATCTTGCCACTTTGGTTCCGTATTGTTTGTCAGTACGTCTGAACTTGCCGCTCCAAATGAGGTTAAGGTCCTCTGTCTTTTTCATGAGCTCTACTCCATGATTCATGTCATCCCCCTTGTTGTTTACTTGATAGATGTTTTCGTGTTGCTTTTAAAACTTACCGTGGAAAAAAATTGAAAAATATTCCAATGCCATTTCTGTTTTTTCTCCAATCCGTTCACGTAGTAATTTAAAAACATTTATTTTACTCTTAGCAAGTTGAATTTGAGTGGCTTCTTCAAAAGGAAGTCCATGCTGTCCTTGCTCAGCTTCAAAACATACTGCAGGTAAGACAGTATAAGTTTTAATTTTCCCAAGAAATTATACTTTTTTCAACAATTTAATATTTTCCATTTATATAGGAATGTGGTCGGCGTTTCCCTGTGCCATTATTTGGAGTTGATGGACCTCTGAAACAAGACAAGTTTGTCCTTACCACTCCTCCTGACCAACTTAAATGTATTGTGTCTGTGATGGGAGACAACATCTCCCAAGCTGTAAGTACCCTTCATTTTCATTATAAACACATATTTCAGAAATCAGCTTGTTCCTCGATAACATGATTACTTTTGCAGGAAATTACCTTAAAGGTTCAACGTCAGCAAAATGTCATTTATCGAACCTCAATCCAGGCCGATAGCCCATGGAAATTGCAGCAAGTTCAGGATGCAGGGAACCACTTGCAGCATGCCTTGCATCATATTGATAGTGTCGATGCTGATTATTCATTTCGTTCATCTGAAGAAGTTCTGCACTTGTTAGGTGACATCCTTGGATGTCTACAGCGAGGGCGCACAAGCTTGATTGTCCCACGCAAACGCACTATCGATGATCTCATGAAGAGCAGAAATATGGTAAGAAGTCCTGTCTGTCAGTTGGTACTGTACACCACAAATATCTTTTGCACTAAGTATTTGTTTTGGTTTTATTCACAGAGATCTCTTACTCCAACACTACCCGAAGATCTGGCAATCAGCTTCTACATTCAAAGCCACAAACTTGTTCTAGCTGTTTACCATTTAAGCAATGTGCACGGAAATTTGAAGTTTGACACTTTCCAAGCAGAGTGCTCAGTGCCATGGATAAGTGAAGTTCTTGTGTTGTTCACTGTAGCACTGCAGTTGTGTCAGCAGCTAAAGGATAAGGTAAGTCCTTCAAAATTATCTCTTAATTTTTTTCTTGCATGTTCTTAAAACAATTAATTTTTTTTTCAGATTTGTGTTTTTTCTCAATACAAAGATTTCTCTGCAACTGGTAACAACGCAGCATCTGTTGCATGGTGATTCTACCAGTCAGTATTTATATAGCTGCTACAGGTTACACTCTTGCAGTATTCAATGGTGCAAGCTTCAGTAGTTTGTTTGGTTCTGTAGGAATGGCTTATTTATATAGTTATGTTAACATTCATTTTTTCCTTTTTCTTTGAAAGAACAGATGCCCATCCGTTATTTAATGTTCTTTAAATTAATTTTGTTTGTGGGCAAAGGCCTGTTAAGATGGATTTCTCCTTCTGTTTATATCTGTACTTCGTGTAAATTATGATGCCCACTGTAAATATTTTCCCCTTAAAAGTCATATTTATTGAAAGTTGGTAGTATTGTTTTTATCAAGGCACAAACTTGATACTATAGTTGCCTTTACGTATAGTGATATTAATGAATTAACCTATGTATTTATAGATGTCTCCTTGGTCTTGCATAAAGCTCAATTTTGTATTTGGTGAGTAGACAGAAAGCCAGCTAAAATGTCTAAAATCTTGCCTTCACTTGTTCATATTGCATTCGGATTCAGTCTCTCATTGTCCTTAACATTCGTTGTACTGCCACAAAATCACTCTAGTCTTGTACTTTAGGGGTGCGAAATTTTTCTGCAAGTTGGCTTAATTTATTAGGTGTTGCATGCTAAGAACCATTGAGCTTGTCCTATTATTATAATTATCATCATTGTTACTGTTGTTATTATTATTATTGTTGTTGTTGTTACTAGTACTATTGTAATCACTCTCATCATCTTCATCGTCATTTTGGGTTGTTATTGTCACTTTTCTTTATTGTCATCTAACTTCAACTTGTAAGTAGTGTGCTATGGATATTTTTTAAACATGCATTTATTTGGTGTTACCCCCTGTCAGTTATCAGCCATTACAGACCAACTGAAACTGTGTAATGAAAATAAAATACTGTCTTTTTCCAACACACTTTACATAAATGACTGTCTTTGTAAGAGCTAAATTTTAGGTTGAAAATTTGTACTGTAAAATTGTTTAAAAAATCGAAAGGCATCAATATCTATTTCCAATTGTCTCCTGGTGTTTTTTGGAAAGAGTGATTTATTTGTGTTCCCTTGAAAATATTTCTTCATTTGTGTCTGTAAATATTGTGTGCAGTATTTTCCAGCTTGTAAGTTAAAAGAATGTCGTTCTGTTAGTCCATATTCTGTGACTATGTGTAAGTGAGGAATTTTGTCAATTACAATAGTCATCAATTACCTTTAATGTCATTGGACATTTTGGGTTCATGCAATTAAACATCCTGTATTGGAGATGACTGTTTTTGTGTAAAACTTTGGAAAGTTCAACTCGTTGTTAAGATCAATTATTTGTGTGTGCTGTGAATGCAAAATGTTCTTCAATTAAATCTGTACTAAATGGATAATTTGCGATGAGCAGGGTCTAACGTATCTATCTGTTCCACTCTTGTATCAAAAACCTGTTGCCATATAGTAGAGATTGTCATCAGGTTTTAAACATGGGAAACATTGTTGTGCTGTGACTCTGATTTAGTTTTAACGCATTTGGAGGGGTTGATCCTCAAATTTTGACCATTTATTATGCCTTGTGGTTTTGGCAATGTCCTTCGTGCGTCAATTGAGATCGAGTCCAAAATTGTCACCAATTTCATTGTTTGTTTTAAGCATGCAGGATGAGGATAGTTAATCCTCTATATAATCAAGAAAGGCATAAAAAATGTTTATTGATGAGCATAGATGATTGTGATCTGATAGGAACAAGGGTCTTCATCATAAGTTTTATTTGCCAATCACACTATGATTTCTTGCCTGCTAGGGAGTTGTTCCTCTAAGTAAAGACAATAAGTATGTATGGCTTTTCACTGTGATGGAGTGACTCTGTGTTTACTGAGCAATAAAACCTAGTGAGTATTCACAATCAGAACATTTTCATTCACCTTTACCCGTATTGAAAATGAAGTGGGGAAATAACTTGTGCCAGAATCAAAGTTTCTGTCTGAGCTCAACTTATCACGTTAGGCGCCAGCCGGCTATGCGCATGCGCACGGGGCAGGCGGGGGGAGGGGGGTTGTCTGTCTGTCTACCCACGGAGGCGTGGGTGTGTGTGTGTGTGTATGTGCTGCAGACAGCAGCCGACAACTGGCTGCGTAGTCTTTTCAGAGTTTTTCTGCTGTTTAAACAACATGAAAAAGAACATATTATAAGTCCTCGTAATCGAATTAATATGCTAACATATGAAAAACTCTATTGATCTCTCTTGCATCTTCGTTTTCTTCATAACTTATACCTATAACCTGTGGTATGTTGACTTCTTTTTGACAGGTGACATTTGTTCTATGATAATTTTTCAATGATCCAGGTCAGATAAAGTATCCTGAAGGTGTACTCAGATTTGTTTTTACAGTTTTTCCGTCAAATTTTCTGTTGGCAGGTTGATAGATTTGACATTTCAGACACCATCTGGACATTAATATTCGCAATTTAGTTCAACATATCTCGATTCAAAATGAATTGCATTTTGGCTGTGAAGATGTACATTACCAAAATGACCGATGAGAGTGGTCCTGGCATGAAAGTTCTCTTGATGGATAGAGAAACCGTGAGTTTCCCATGGAACAATTTTGACCTAATGTTGATATACAATACAATGGTTTGTTTTGTTCATTTCCAGACTAGTATTGTGAGTATGGTGTACGGTCAGTCAGAAATCCAGCAAAGAGAAGTTTATTTATTTGAGCGCATTGATGCTGGGAATCAAGAGCCCATGAAACATTTAAAATGCATTGCTTTCTTGAGGCCAACTAAAGAAAATATCCACACGCTTGCCATGGAGTTGCGTAGACCACGATATGGCTCATATTATATATGTAAGCTACAGTTTTAAAAAAGATCTTGTCAGTCGTATTTTTATTTTTCATGATCTTATGCATATAAATGTTGCGCCCATAATTTTGCAGACTTCAGTAATATAACTCCTAAAGCTGATATAAAAACATTGGCAGAAGCTGATGAGCAGGAGGTTGTGAGGGAAATACAAGAATTCTACGGAGACTTTCTAGCTATGGGTCCCCACTTATTCTCATTGGGGATCCCTATCATGTATCAAGGTTGTACCTGCTGGATATAATGTTTGTTGCTGCTGAATATTCCAGGTTACTCACTCAATAACTAAACAACAATTTTGCTTTCCCTTCTTGGCAGGGAGTGGTTGGGACCACGATATTTTGACTCGATGTGTTCAGGGAGTTACCTCAGTTTTGCTGTCACTTCAAAAAAATCCATTTATTCGCTATCAAAGTAATTCCAAAATGGCTAAGAGATTGGCAGAAACAATTCGGGTAGGTCTTCAAGAACTTGAAGAGGTTAAATCCTCTCTGATAATTACGTGCTTTGCATTGATTTCTTTTTCCTGCAGCAAGTATTATCTAAAGAGTCAGAGTTGTTTGAATTCCGACAAATGGGCTCACCTCCACTACTGCTTATATTGGATAGAAGAGATGACCCAGTGACGCCTCTGCTAAATCAGGTAGAATATTCAATTTATTATAATAAACAAATTAAATTGGACATTTTAGTATTTTTTAAAACTGTTTTCTCTTTATTTTAGTGGACTTATCAGGCTATGGTTCATGAACTCCTGTCCATCAATAACAATCGAGTGAGTCTGGGACATGTACCAGGCATATCCAAAGAACTGAAGGAGGTGGTACTTTCTGCCGAACAGGATGAGTTCTATGCAGATGTAAGTATTTCATTTCTATATTTTTTTTTATTTTTTTTTTATTTTTTTTGTAATTTTAATTTATTAAAGGACTTATTTCTCAACCTCCAGAATTTGTACCTGAACTTTGGTGAAATTGGACAAACAATCAAAGAGCTGATGGATGACTTCCAAAAACGTGCCAAAAGTAACAGGAAACTTGAAAGCATCCAGGACATGAAAAATTTTGTTGAAGCTTATCCACAGTTTAAAGTAAGTCTTGGTTTTCATGCTAAGCTAATGAAGTCTGTGCCAGCACTGCACAACATTTTAAATTTTACTGCAATGTCATGTTTTGCAGAAAATGTCTGGCACAGTCTCCAAACATGTGGTGCTTGTAGGTGAACTAGCATCATTGATGGAGCGCCACAATCTCCTAGAAGTCTCTGAGACAGAACAAGAACTAGCATGCCAAGAAGCCCATTCTCAGCATTTACAGGTGGGTCTCCTTAAAAAATGAAGGACATTCTTCTATTGTAAGAAGTAACAATCAATGAAAATCAATCTTGTTCTGACATCTTTTGCAGCATGTCAAAAGACTCATAGCGAATGAAAAAGTACGCCATGAGGATGCAGCCAAGCTTGTCATGCTTTATTCATTACGCTATGAAAACCATTCCAACAATGACACAAGTGGTTTGATAGAATCATTGAAACGAAGGGGTGTGTCCGATAGACTAGTTAAGGTATATGCTGGTGGTGAAGGCACTTACTTTGTCCTATAGCCTTAATATTTTCTGTTATTTTAAGAAATATTTTCTTTGAGCAGATGGTTAGGAATGTTATTGAATATGGGGGAGCTCACGCTCGACAAAGTGATTTATTTGGCCAGCAGGACGCTGTAGTACAGGTCACAAAAAGGTTTTTTAAGGTAACCTTGTGTGCATTCACATGAAAAAAATATTTGATTAATCCATTTTATCATGGGTAATTGTAATATTTTGTTTGATACAGGATCTTCGTGGTGTTGAGAATGTTTACACTCAACATAAGCCATTGCTTGTTGGAACTTTGGAAGACCTAGCCAAAGGACGAATTAAGGAATCTGCCTTTCCATTCCTAGGCAACAATAATAATGCTGCTACCAAAAGGTACACAAACAAAGTGCCAGGGTGTTTCGCTGTACATTATGTGTGCATTTTTTTATAGCTGAAATATTCTCTAATCCTCTTTCTTTAAATTTTTTCAGACCTCAAGATGTTATAGTCTTCATCATAGGAGGAGCAACTTATGAAGAGGCCTTATCTGTTCATCAGATGAATCAAACTTCATCACTAGGCATTAGAGTCATTCTGGGAGGCAGCACAATTCACAATTCCACTACATTCTTAAATGAAGTTGATGCTGCCAGTACTAAAAGCCGCAGCCAAAACTTGTAGAAAGAAAATGAAAATTATATTTTACATTCTATTTCAAAATATATAAAGAGACTTTATTGAACCTATTATTACTATCAATTTGCTTTAAGTACTGTGGCTTAATGATATATATCACCATCTCTTGCAACTTCCCCATCTAGAATACACTTCCTGACATTTCACCTGTTTAATGTCATATCTCCAAGAGTCATTAAAGATTATTGTTAAATAAAATCTATAAATAGTTGCTTCCTTTTGTTCTTGTGAGATCCCTGCCGCATACATCACGGTGTTGCAATCCTGCGGCGCGGGTCGTGGGTTGCATCTCAGCACTATCAGAGTAACAGACCTGGCTAACGCCTGTCACTGCTGTCAGCTCACGCAAATCCCGGAGGACGAGCTTGGGCCTTGCACGGCAAGCGGGGAGGGGGGCCTACCCTCGCTACCCCTCCATTCGCATTCCCTCTCAACGCTGCGGAGCGATTCACGCGGTCTATGCCGCCAGTTCTGAGCCGACCGGCGGCACGGACACCCGCGTCGACTCCAATGGTGGGAGGTTTCCAAGCACTCGCATCTAATTGTATTAGGTAGGTGTAGGTGGTAGTACATTGCTTTGTTCTCATAGTTCTATTGTTTTGTTGTCTGCTTAAGCAGTGCACGACAGAACGGACGAGATAAAACTTGATGGTGGCAACGCAAGAAAGCGACAAGGTCCTGTGGAGTGCTCCAGCGCCTGATTGGTGGGCCAGCCGCCAGCCGTGTGTCACCGGCGTGGCCTGGGCGTGGGCGGTCTGTTGTGGCCAAAGAGCGACCTGTAGCCGAAGGCGACCTGACTCTCTGCCACTCCTACTGTCCCACAGAAAGTGCGACAGAGGCATAAGACAACCGCTGAACCACGACTTGGAACGCACGAGAGCTAAACAACGAAGGGGCGGGGTAGGCCATCGCCATCGTCCTCGCACCGTTGCGTTGCGGGCCGGCCTGCCTTTCAGGCGCTACAGGCCGACAAGCATGGTGACGAACGAGCGTTGGTGTTCGTCTGGTCTACGCACCGATCCACTACCGACTCTTTGTGACGTTCTAGCGCAGCCGTAACTCTTTGACCAAAAAAAAAGCGACGTTCAAAATGGTACAACCACGGCATGTCAGTCTGCCTGGCCCGCTGGCGCACAGCAAAAGAGCGTCGGACGAAATCGGCAGCGACGCGAGGCCACCGAGACCCACGGCGCCGTGGTGCAGAGCCTGTTCAAGGTTGAGGACGCCGTCGTCGACGAGACGGTCGTGAACCGGGGGAAGGGGAGGGGGAAGGTCCTCTTCCATCGATTCTTGAGATGATGAGGGATCCGCGGCGCGAGGCAAATGAGGAAGTATGTTTGCGCGCGCGCGTGTGTGTGTGCGCGTGTGTGTGTCGGTGCGAACCGGTAATTTCCCGAGGACGGAGAAGGAGGTCGGGATGAGGTGACGACCCCTTGCCCCTGTGGCTGCTGCTGCTGTTTGAATCAGAGAGGATAGAGAAGACAGAGAGGACGGTTTGAATCGTGCCGTGCCAGCGCGTGCGGACAGGAAGCACTGCCCCAGCAGCATCCGGCCGCGCGCATCCACCGCGCCGCGCCGCGCCGCGGCCCACCGGGCCATGGAAAGTAGTGCAGGCCGCGGATTCGAACCCGCGACTGTCGACACGGCGGGCAGACTCGACTAACCGCATGCTTATTATTGCGGCCGCACGTTGCAGCAGGCTGAGCAGAGCCGGGCAAAGGCAAGGCGAAGCACAGTGAAGCGGGCTGCGCCGGCCAGATGGATCTGGCGGCCACAGACTGACTCCGAGAGTCGTTTTCGTCGCCCTGTCTCTCTCGCGCACCGCGGGACGCCCCATGAGTGCGATAGAGACAGAGCGACGAAAACGACTCTCGGAGTCGGTCTGCAGCGTGTGTGTGCGCGTGCGTTTGCCTATCTGCGTCTGTGTGCGCGCGTGTGGGAATGGCCGCGGTGGCGTGCGGTGGCGTGTGGGGTCCACTTTTCATGGACGCTGGGTCGGCAGGTGCCGGTCACATACGCCCCCTCCCCCTTCCCCGGAGGGTCCTGCTCCCCCCCCTCCCCCCCGCGCGGACTTTCGTTTTCGTTTCCACAGCGACGGCGGCTGCCTGGCGCTCCGCGAGTCTTACGCGTTTTTCCGCGCCTGGCCGAGTGCACCGAGTGCGTGGAGTCTGTGGGCTGATTCCGAACGGTGCTTTCGTCGCGCCGTCTCTCTCTGTCTCGCTCGCACTCGTAAGGCCTTGCGCAAGGGTGCGGGAGAGACAGCACGGCGAAGCTGGCGAAGCCTGCTGTAGACTGATTCCGAGAGTCGTTTTCATCGCGCTGTCTCTCTCGCATCTACGGGACGCCCCATGAGTGTGAGAGAGACAGAGCGACAGAAACGACTCTCGGAGTCAGTCTGCTGGCGGGGCGGCAGCTTTTGTAGTAACTCGTGTACCGCTGCGGCGTGCCGGCCGGGCCGCTCAGATTGCGTTAGGACTGCACGCGCCGTTGGGCCGTCGGCCAGCCCAGGCCCAGGCCAGCCCGCCCGCATGCCGTACACTGTACGGCAGACTGATCCCGAGGGTCGTTTTCGTCGCTCTGTCTCTGTCGCACGCCCACAGGGGTCGCCCGATGAGTGACAGTGACATCGGGGGGGAGTCTTTAGTACGCAACTCTGCGTTGTCTTTGTCCACACAACTCGCTCTGTCCTTGTCGCCCTCCTCCGAGAGGATGCTGGAGGCACTGCAGGGAACAGGGACTTCCCTTCCTGGCTCACTCGAGACGTTTGAAACGCGCGCGCGCCGCCCGCTCCGGCTCCTGCGCCCTCTTCACGCCGCGACAGGTTGTCAACACCGCTTTACAAGGCGGTTGTTTGTCCAGCGGCAGACGAAGATGGCGGCCGTCCCACTGCAGCTGCAGACGCAACAACGGGCCGTCGTTCTGACAACAACTTGATGTTTTTGTGGCGTTTCGCAGTGTGGCCGTCCGTGTCGCCCCTCGCCGACGCAGCCTGAGTGCCCGGAGGCTTCGTCCATGCCTGGCCGGCCCGTGTCCTGAGGCGTTCGCCGGTGGGAATCCAAGCATCCGACCCGCGCCAGAGACACTGGCAGGATGACGAGGGTTCGTGAGTGGGGCCTGCAGGACCGGCCCCTCAACACGGTCAACTTCGAGAGCCCCTCGCACACGGGCACCCTGCTCAGCGGCCTCAACACCCTCAGGGCCAAGGGGCTGTTGCTGGACGTGACGCTGGTGGCGGACGGCGAGGCGTTCCAGGTGAGGGAGAGAGGTTAAAGCTGGCCTACTTCAGGTCCTGCCAGGACAGCTGCAGCATGAGGCTGCAGTGACCCACTTTCTGAGAGTGGCGAATTTGGTCGGGTTTTGCAGCGGATTCTGTCCAGTGTCGTGCATGTTATTCGCTCGGAGGGACTTCCCTGACCCCATTGCATCATTACGTGTCAGTGGTCTCGTCAAAATTCCTCCCATAATTAATTTTCTTTTGTGTTTCAGGCCCACCGTGTTGTCCTTGCATCATGTAGCGATTATTTCCGAGCCATGTTTACGGATGCTATGAGGGAGTCACGACAAAGTAAAATATGTCTCAATGGAGTGAGTGCAGCTGGAATACGGCTGCTTCTTGATTATGCGTACACATCGCGACTTGCCTTGAACCTTGCCAATATTCAGGACGTTTTGTCTGCTGCAAGTCACATACAAGTTGTGGCAGTTGTTGAAGCTTGCTCAAATTACCTGCAGGTTACTATCTTTGGTATGATTCATACAGTTCATTGTTTGTTTTGAAACTTATCTTATATGGTTTCTTTCCTGAACAGGCCCAGTTAGATCTTGAAAATTGTGTAGATATTGTCACTATTGCTGAAACCTACTCACTAAGTCAGCTCAGACGACGTGTCTACCGATTTATGTCTGCACATTTGTGTGAGTTTTCACAAACTCCAGATTTTCATAGATTAGCCCTCCAGCAGTTTGAACACTTGCTGGGCTGTGACTTTCCCGTGGACTGCCCTGAAGTTGATGTCCTTCGTATAGTTCTGCGCTGGCTCCAGGGCGTTGATAATTTGAGGTTGGTTCAAATAAGGGCGGATACTAGATCTGAGTGTTCTGTGAAATTTACATTCTTCTGTAAAACTTCTGTATTAAGATCTTAAATGTATTTATTTTAGTCATACTCAAAGAGTGAACTGTGTTCAGAGACTCTTGAGAAGAGTCCATTTCTCTGAGATATCTGCATGGGAAGTTGAGACACTCCTTGCTAAAATGAAGCACAGTCCTGTCGAGCAACAATTGTGCCGACTTGTTGTGGCAGAAGCTTGTCGACAAGGTCGTATCAGAGCCTCTTCCGTGTCAACCAGCGGCTCAAATCCTTTAACTCCTTGTGCCTTGGCTGTAACTTCTCCTGCTGGGCCCAGCAACCTGGTCAACTCAAGGGGCATGGAACTAGCTGTTGTCAAGGTATGCTACTTTCCTAAAATGACACTTATTCTGAATACCTAATGTACTTCTTTCTGTTTCAATAATTGTGCACTTTTACCAGGTTGGAGGGTTTGGTCTTGCTGGAATTACAAATGAGATTACATATTTTTTGCCAAGTGCTGGTAAATGGAAACACCTCACAACAATACCTCATGTAGAGCAATGCAACTTTGGAACTGCAGTTCTAGATAATGAACTTTATGTAGTAGGTGGATGCTTCAATCAATCCTTACAGGTACACAAATAAATGTCAATTTTTAACATTTTAACCAAAGCTTCACCTTTTTATTATCAGCAACAATAATAATAATAATAATAATAATAATAACAATTTAATTTGTTCTTGGGTTCAGGAAAACATTCATCCTTTTGGCTTTCGATATAGCCCTCGTTCAAATAAATGGACTACCATGGCTCCTATGCAGCGTGAAAGGTGCCGCTTCTCTCTTAACGTAGTCCTAGGAAGACTGTATGCTATTGGCGGAGCCAGTGAAATGGATGATGAGGTGGCAGACGATGAGGTACATAGATGTTACATATTTTTCATTGCTTTATTATTGTATGCTGCCTGCTTGGAGATGGTATTATGTTTGCCTCTACTCCCATTTTCAGGTCAGTGCCTGTGAGTGCTACGATCCTGAAACTGACAGCTGGGAGAGTGTATCGCCCCTACCTGGATTCAGGACTCAGCATGCAGGGGCTTCTTGGTCAAGACAGTCTGAGAATCTGCATTGGCTGTTTGTATCAGGCGGTTTGGACCGTGATGTTGTCCTTACGTCAATGCGTAGATATGATGTATCCTCTGACACCTGGGTGTCCAAAGCACCCATGTTAACACCACGAGCTGATCACGTAATGCTAAGTATGGGTGAGAGAGTGTTCGTTTGTGGTGGATGGTATGAGGACACCGAAACTGGAAACAGGTTCGTTTTGTCATTTATATGTTTGTCTCTCTGTCTGTACGCTTTGAAGGTAGTCAACATGGTGGAAAATGTGGCAACTTGTTTTATTGTTTCAGAGTTCTTGCTGATACAATTGATGCATATGATGTCATGAGTGACACATGGGAAACCATAACAAATGTTCCTACTCCTCGATACCATGCTGGTATTGTAGGTGTTGACTCCAAGATTTTCTTTATAGGTGGATTTTTAAGTGATGCAATGTTTGACAGAGCAACAGGTAGGAAAATGGAGAGATATTTAAAAGGTTCATGGTAACGAAACAAATTCTAATCTCAATTCTTATTTTCCAGCGGTAATTGAATCATATGATTTAGATTCAGATACTTGGAGTACTGGTGAAAAATATCCTCAAGATATTTGGGAGCATACGTGTGTAACATTATACATTCCAAGGTGTAGAGATGATATGGAAGTCATGGTGGCCAATCATGGCCGTTCTTAGACTCTGTAACTCAAAAATGTTAAAGTACTCAGTCATGACATCAGTACTCGGAATGTTACTTTAAAATAATAAGATGACAGTTGACACATTCTTTTGTGTCTGTGTTGTTTGGTTTGTTGGTTAGGACTTGTGGGCGTAAGTCAGAGTCAGAGGCCAAGAAAGGCAACTGGAACTGGATAAATTTCCGGTGCCCATGAGTTCTCAAGGTCGGAGACCGTCACGAACCCTGCATCACAACAATGCCCACATGTTTTCAAGCAAATGCACTTTATTATTATTTGCATTTCTGTTAATAAGGCTGTGCCATTGTAAATTCTGCTGAATGTTTCTCTTCTCTTGTGGCCTGGCATAGATAAAGATCTGCAGCAATTTTTCTGAAGCTACCCGCATTTTCATAAAACCTGTCAAAATTACCGAATTTTGTATTGAGATGTTAAGTTTTGTATTGTTTAGTGATAATTTTTGTTACTAAGTGTGGATTATGTCCATGAATCTTGTCTCATTATCTAATTGTAAGCAAGTTGATTGTGTGTTTTGCTCAAATCCTGTAAAAGGGAATTTTTCTATACTCTTATTTATTTAATGCCTTATTTATAATTTAGAACTATCAGCATCCTTATGAAAAGGAAACTGTATTGTGGGCCGTAAGGCCTTAAGGTCTTATAGACAGTCCTAAGCATAAGTAGTGAATTCGTTTTTCTCCTTTGAGTGGCCCTTGATGCATTTTCCTATTTGAAAGCTTTGCTGTGAGGCTATGAATTGATACTGTGTTGTAGAGACTGAGGGATAGAATCTTGCGCTTTATATAAAAACCATGATTTAAAATGTGGATAAGAGCATATACTTGAAACCTTTCTCTGCCAACTGCCTTGTAGAAGACTGAAGATGGTTTTTGTTTAAAGCTATTTGCAGCCTTCTATCCCTTTTGTGATTCATTTTTGTATGAGCAGCACTGTTTTGAAATGACGACATTGTCCGATAATTTTGTATTGTTGTACAAAGCCAAACTGAAACGTATGCAGTTCAAGTACCCTTACATTCTTTTATCATTCGTTTTCGTTTTTTGGATTTTAGTTATTTGATCTAACAAGTAAAAAGAAAGAGAGAACTTACAAAATAGTTGTGCAGTGTCAAACATGTTTTTACAAAAAAGTTAATGCACTCGACTGCTGTTTTGTTGATTTGGATTCCTAAACTAACTCGTAAAACTCCTGTTCAATCCACTTGCATAGTTTTTACAATACTTGTAGTTTCAGGCAATGAAACAATCTTATACTAATAATTACTTATATTTTATGTACTGATTTTGTCAGTTGAGAGCAAGTTATGCTTAAAATACCATGCATCTGTTTTGCTGGTTCGTTTGGCTCACTGCCATTTTCTCCACTTTTGTTTTTCTATTACATTCTGTAGGGAAGAAGTCTTTTCTGTTTCATTAACTTTAAAAGCGGAAGCCTTCTAATGTCTCCAGTCCAACCTGTTGGTCAATGCCTGTATAGCCATTGTGATATTTATTATTCATCAATTTTATTTTATGTTTTTGTTTTAATAAATCACTGTACGATTAATGAAGGTGTTGTGTCATTGTCTTCATGAAATGTAGCGATAAGAAAAGTTCCACTTATGGGCTCCCCACCTCCCTTAATATTAAAGAAATTGTTTAAATGATGAGAGTAGACTCTTTTCACATCGATTATTATTTGTTAGTAAAGACACCACATTTTAGCACTATTCAATGGTCTCATTAAATAGCTACCGAACTGGTAAAGATAAACTATGCTAACAAAATAAAAAATGCATCTGTAAAGTGAAAGACAATATAAATGATTCATAAACAAAATTGTAATAGTGTGACATCCGAATTTCATATGAGCTTACAGGTCTTGGTTTAACTAAGGACAAAATCAACAGGTCAAAATAATGAATATCAAAATATACAACATTTGTTAGATGATCATTACTAAGAAAAACACTGTACATTTAGTATAACATCATGCTACGACATGTGGAGAATGCATTCAATGGGACAAGAGAAGTGTTTGTAAATTGATTTGAAGCATAACAACAATGAAAACCAAAACAAAGAAAATATCGGTGTGGCAAAGAAGAGTTACAACCTGGTAACCAAAAACGACTCATGAGGCGATTTATTCAGTTCAAAGGACATACTATACACACCATTCATGTTCTATTATTGTCTCTTACTGCAAAAATTATAACAAGTACAACATAATCACTAACATATGAGCTGTGAGTTAACATCAAATCTCAGGTATAACAAGCTTAGCATAAATCACAAACATATTTGGGACAGATTGTACTTCCATAGGTTCTTGGTCACTATGCACAACTATTGTGACAGAACAAAAAACAAGAGGTACTCACCACAGAGTATAGACATAATTTGTACTCTTGCCATAAGATCATATAGACAAACTACAGTCTCCTCAAGAACAGATTAATTTAAAAGTTTATTAACATACATACTTGAGTTTTTTTAAAATTATGTGAAAGTTTCCTTTTTTCAATTTTAGAGGAACCCAAGTAGGAGATTCTTTTTAGCTTCAGCTAATATCCCAATATGCTCGCCGATTCACAGAGATTCCTCCACAATTTCCAAATCCACATACAATAGGAGCTTTTCTGGCTTTTCATATCATCTATTGGTTTATTCAACAGGGTATAGAGGCTGATACCCATATCCAACTTTAATTTCTAATTTGGAATGTTAATACTTGGTTCAAACATATAATAGGTATTTTAATCCGAGGAAAACGTCTAAATAATTATTTAGGAGATTCAACACAGCACCTTGATCGACTTTACGTCAGTATGATATTTCTTTGTCAAGACCATCACTTTCTGTCATGAAGAGAAACTGTATACGGACTGTTGTGCATCTTACATAGAAATAAGTCTTACATATACATGTTTGACAAGTCTTACGATTTCATCTAATGTTTAGTTGAAAATGAGTACTCATGAATAAGGCCAATGTCACTTTAATAAGATTGAACTTGGGACCTTTAACAAGAAAATAAAAGCAATAATCAAATGAAGAACATGGTTAACTATGTGGACTACATGTGTAATCTCAGAGAGCAAAGGAAGAGGAATGAGAAATTTACAGCAAATATCCAAAGATTTTATTTATGAACGACTGTTTAAACAGTCTTCTTTGATAACCACTTCACACAACATGATTAGGAGTCTATGCATTATTGACCTTTATCATCTTTCTCATGCCTTAATCATCTTCAGAAACAACTGTCACACTAGAAAGCCACACTAATTGCATGCCATTTGAATGTGGCAAAATATTCTGAATGAATGAAACAGCGTCAAAATAGAGGAGTCATTGTCATCCACATGTACTCCGCTCCTGACAAAAATAAATGTACGTAAAATAATAATGGCAGAAGATAAGACTCGAGTACAAAAGAGAAACCTGTGATGCCAGAAATACAATGAAACATGATTGAGATAAAACAACTGTGCTCACATACAGGGTGGCCTACAATTCAGGCACTTTGAACTGAAAGAGCTTACTTTGTCAAGAGTTGACTGAAAAATTAGGCCAAAGCTCAAAACACACATAACAGATGCTCAAATTCTGTAGAAAAATATTCCCAATATTCCGGTCACACCTGTGACCAACGAAATTCCAAGGCATTAATTATGTCTTCGGCGCTATGTATGTTTACAGTGCAAATGTCAATATTCTCACAGCTGTTATTGAAGCCTAAGCGTTATTGTTTTTTGAGGCAACCATGCCATGTGTTTTAAGATATGGACAAATCCTGCACTCCACTTTTTGCCAATGTAAACAAATGCCTTTCAAAGTGTGTGAACCATGGTTGGCTCAGCCATTAAAAGCACCAGACAATATAACTTCTTTAAAAGAAAAACAGCAACAAGACATAAAAGAGATAACAGCAAAATATTTTGGAAGGTGAACAATCTGGTGCGAGTAAGGAAGATTCAACTGCAAAAGTTTAACTGATCCACATTTCCAACAGTGAGAAAACTTCAACATTATTTCTATTATGAGATTTGGATAATAGCTTTAGACTGCATAGTCTAGCAGTTAGTCAAGATGTGGGAGCTGATTGCAATGCAACTTAATGTTAAGACTCTAAAATGGTCCCTTTGACAACATTTCTATGGGACAGAATAACATTTGGTTTCCGAGTGTCAACATTAAAACCAGAAATCAATTTTGTCAACCTCATAAAATATGTAATATTTAATACTTAATACTTAGGTCTTAAATAAAATACTGTATTCTAATGGAACAAACTAAACCTGCTTGTGTTCATTAAAATACCTTTATACATAGCCCTTAGGGAACATGTTTGACGGTTTCAAGTCTTGGCCCATTTTTTAACCCCTATTCAATAACCTACCAATAGGTTGAACTAATGAGCGGATTCATTTAAATGACATTTTTCTATTTTCTTGTAAGTTTTATGGCAGATTTTAAAATTATTTAACTTGAGATATTGACTACTAAAAAAACTTCAGTGAATGGAATCCTCAGTAATTCAGATTTATTATGAATCAAATCCATTGCAAAATGTAACAATGTTCACAGTTAATAATAAAACATCTAAGGCAAACTTTAACACACTCTAGTGAGTCACATGCGTCAAATTTAACTAAATTCATTTAAAAACCGATTGTTATTATTTGTGATCAAAATAACAATACATAATTCCGAATACGCTAGCCAAAGCCATTTACCAGAACACACTTTGATGGTGAGGTAGCGGTGGCTGCACGTCGTCCTCTGGTCCAAAGAATGAAGATCCGTCCAGAGGGTCGTCCTGGTAGAAGTTGTCTCCGCCCATGTGCCTGGGCCTGGGCATGGGGGGCATGGGGGGCAGGGGGGGCAGGGGAGGCATAGCGGCGCTCCCCCGCCCGTTGCCGCGACCCACAGGTGGACCACCCTGGGGTGGGGGTGGTCGCGGCCTGGGACCGCGCACAAGAGACGGCGGCGGGGGCCCCAAGGGGCGCATCGGAGGCCTGGGGCCGCTGGGGCCGGGAGGGCCCCGCAGTCCCAAGCCGGGTCTCGGGCCGGGGCCCCTGGGGCCGCCGAGGGGGCCTCTGGGCCCGCCAGGGCCAGGCCGGGCGTGCGGGGGCCCAGGCCGCGGGCCCATGGGAGGCGGGCCCAGTGGAGGGTGCCCCATGGGCCTGGGGCCGCGCGGTCCTGGACCACAGGGACCCATGGGGGGCCGCGAACACATCGGTGGTCCCGGCCCCATCATGGGGGGCACGGGCAGCGGCAAAGGCCCTGCCATCGGCCCCATGGCGCCATGCACGTCGTACTTGAGGGGGTCCACCCTCTCCAGCAGGACCACCAGGCAGCAGTGCAGCGTGTGGGGCGCCAGGTCCACGGGGATCACCCGCACCGGGACGAAGGGCTTGCTGGGCTGCTTCGTGAAGAAGCCTGGCGCAGCAAACTCCATGAAGTTTTTGTGAATCACTCGTTGGCTGGAGACAATGTAGACAACCTTCGACACTTTCTGGCATTTCCGTAGCTCAGCTACAAAGGTAGGACCTGGGTGATGTAACAGAGAATATAAATGTTTCAACTCGACAAAATGATCTAACTTCCAGCCATGGTAAAATTTAGTGTTTACTTACCTAAGCCATCTCTTGGTGGATCTACCACTGCTACTATCTTCTTCCCTGTAGCCTTTTTGAGAACTGAAGGTAACACTTCTTCAGCACGGCCAGTCAAAAACTCACATGTGCTTGCATTATTTTTTTCTGCATTAACTTTAGCATCATTAACACTTGATTCCACAACATCAATTCCAAACACCTCTTTGGCTTTCTGAAAAAAAAAAAAAGGATGGTTGTAATCAAAATTTTATAGTTGTTTGGTTTAAACAGTTGTGGTGGAAAGAATTGTAAGATAAAATTAAAAAAAGAGTTAAAATTTTACCTTAGCAAGAGTGAGAGCAATTCCACCAGATGCACAACAAATATCAACAACGCTTGTGTCTGAGTCAATGTGAGCAAGTTCAGCAACAGCACTGTACAATTTTTCTCCAGCACTCTTGTTGACTTGGAAGAAGCTTGTTGGGCTTATGACAAAGGAAACACCCAAGTCAGACAAGACATCCTCAATATAGTCCTTGCCCCACAACTTTTCAGGCGGTTTTTCAGACTCTGGACAGTTTCTGAGAGAAAAATTAAATGAAAAAATAAGCAATTGCAAGGAGGAGGTAACCAAATCAGACAAAAAAAGGAAGATTCTTACTTGTCAACAGACAACGAATACAACTTGAGGAACAGAGAGACAACACCACAACCTTTGCCCTCTCGGTTCACAAAAAAATCTACAAGATCTGCTCTAACAGCATCAACAGCTTCTGGGGATAGCTCTCTTGGATGAAAAACCACCATGACCAAGATTTCCTCATTTGAACCTACTCTAACAACAACATTACGCCAGTGGCCAGAAGTAGAAGTGGATGGAGCGTGTTCTGAGGCCTTAATGTAACTGTCAAAAACCTAAAATAAAAAAGTTCATGAAAAGAAAAGAAAAAAACAGGACAACCAAGGGTTAGTTAGAATGTTTTCATTCCTGTTTTCTCAAACCATGTGGTAGATAATACTTGTACTCACTTGAATTACATTTTTCATGCTTTCAGGGAATTGCTTAAATTCATCACCAGGCTTCACAGAAATGGCAAAATCAGATTGGTAATCTAGTTTTAAACCAACCACTGGTTCCTTAGAATCTGGATCTAAACCTGGAATTTTAAAAATATGTTAAGTGAAAAGGCAAAATGTGTTCCAAAAACCCAATATGCCAACATCATTTAAAATTACCTATTTTGAAATCATATTTATTGCGATAGCCATCTACAACAGGAGAACCAACTACTTTTTGCAAGAGTAGTGCATCACCCTTGTGCTTTTGTAGTTGATTGTGCCACCATCCAACAAGTTCCGGATTATGTGAAACTAGTACTTCACCTAAATGTCTTGTTCCATTTCTGGCTTCTTCAAAAAGTTGTGATATCTAAATAGGTCAGAAATAAAATAAATAAGCACAAGAGTTCAAGTATTGGATGAAACTTAACAATTTAAGAGATACAGGACCTGGTCCTTGTAGGGTAAATGTTGGTTTGAACAGTTGAATCTGAAAACTTTTTCTCTAGGTGTTAAGTGTCTAGGTTTCTTACCACCAGCTTCATCTACAAGCCTATCATTGGGTTTTCGTTTAAAATCTGAAGGTGATGCTTTCTAGAAATCCAGAAAAAGAAGAACAATTAAGTGCTTTGCTCACTGATCTTGTATGAGAGGCTGACGTAGGTACACAAAAAAGCAAGAAATGTAGTAATGGAAAATTGAGTTGCAACTTACAACACACGATATTTCATTTCCACGCCATTTCTGATTACTGATGGACTCAATTGCAAGTTTTAGTTGTTCTTCTTCAGAACAAGTTAATACTACAATGTTCGCTGCTGAAGGTAACACAGACAACTCAGCAAAAGTTACATGTAGCTCTTCACATAACCATTTCCTAAAATCCTGTCCAGAGAAAAAAAGCAGAAAACAAATTGGATAATGTGACAATATTTATCAGGTGACAACTAAACAGCGTACTCTGCAAGAATCCATTTACCTCAAGGCAGTATGATGACGGAAGGCCTGTTATCTTTGCCTTAAGATTTACCACAGCGTTGGCAGGCACCTTTCCATTCACCATGTTTTTGGTTTGATTTTGATCAGTACCATTGGACGTATTACATTCTCCAGCACCAGCGGCCATACTGTCTGTAAAGAATTCAATGACAGGTAGTTAAGAGTTCCAATAACCACAACGGTCCTGGCATACCAATGAAGGTTTACACATGCTGGCAAAATGCAATTAAGGACATGCCTATCCATAAACTGGAACTTCAAACACAAATGTAACTTGGGTTTTCAACATTTTATGAAAAAGGATAGGTTGATACACTATGATAAGGAGTGATTCACCTAACCTCATCCTCTTTAAACGTCAGCACAGTGTTGGTCATTAGAACATCAAGGAACATCATACTTTTGGCCACTCGCGAGTGAGGACATTTCACCGACACAAGACAAGAAAATTGGCCAAAACTGAAGGTTTGAAAGAAACTTGGTTTGGCTGTGGCCCTAAATCTAAAACAGCCGGTTCTGATTCACTCAATTCGTAATTCTTGAAAGATTCGACAACTTGAATCAGAGACTGCTGATTTAAATATGTATTTTCCAAGTCAGTTATCAAATGTTGCTCGAACAAAATTTTTGAGCTTGTTTACAAGAGATCATCGGCGGACGACCCACATCACCCATCGTTTTTTCATTCATAATTATCAAAGATTTTTCGGCTTTTCACCTTAACTTTGTGGATGTTATCGTCTTTTCTAACCTTGATGCAGTATTGACAAAAAAAATAAGACCAGACAAAACTATAAAAATGCAAATAATGACGCTCACATCAACTTAGTTCATCCATGAAATCAACAAAAAACAACAACATTTTTACAGGTTAATGCTTTCCAAGCGTGCCAACATCAGAAAAGTTCACACAAATGGTGACCACATCGACAGTGATCGTCACGAAGCTTCATAGTTTACATAGAACATGACTGAAATTGCGATTCTATTTTCAGAGTGACATTGTCGTTGCAACTTATATGTTCTCCCGTATTTTGCGATTTTGCTGTGCTGGCAAAGAGCAGACGACGAAGAAGGGCTGGCCGTGTTTGTTTTTGTTTACGAACATACCTAGCCTAATTTTCCCATCGTTTTGAAGAAATTGAATGAGGGACAACACGAGTCGGTGCTTCTGCTATCTCCACAGTTTTCCATTTCCTAAATCAGAGAGGATCAATTACTGTCATTGCTGCCTTGCTAAGAAAACAAGATTCGCTGTTAACAAGAGAGGTTATGTGATTTCTTTATCATGTTTCTAAAGCCGCAATGTCTTGTACTGCCACAGAGGAGCCATGGAATAGTACGATTCTTCTCAAGAAACCAAGACTCTTCTGTTTCTGAGGCTCGCAGAGTTGTTGTCACAGGGTTGGGGACCATTTGCCCAATTGGACTGTCAGTAGCAGAATCTTGGAAGAACCTTTTGGACGGAAAGTGTGGAGTCTCAAAGCTTGAAGAGGAAGAATTCAAGAACCTCCCCTGTCGTGTTGCTGCCAGAATCAAACCCTCCATTGATCTCTCTAAACATTTTTCAAAATCGGAACTGAGGACCATGGCTCCTGCAACTGCGTATGCCCTTATAGCGGCAAAGGAGGCTCTTGAATGTGCAAAATGGAATCCAGAGAAAGATGAGGAGAGAGAGACTACTGGTGTTGCAGTTGGTATGGGTATGATTGATTTACTTGATGTATGTGAGACATCGGAAGCTCTGAAACGAAGTTATAACAGAGTCAGTCCATATTTTGTGCCACGAATTTTGACAAACATGGCTGCCGGCCAGATCAGTATCAAATATGGCCTGTGTGGGCCTAACCATGCTGTGTCAACAGCTTGTGCCACTGGTGCACATGCTATAGGAGATGCGTTTAATTTTATTCAGCATGGAGACGCAAATGTCATGGTGTGTGGTGGGGCTGAAGCTTGCATAAGCCCCCTAGCCATTGCTGCATTTTCTAGAATGAGAGCACTAAGTACCTCCTTTAATGACAGTCCTGAGGAAGCATCCCGTCCATTTGAGAAAAGTAGGGATGGTTTTGTTATGGGGGAAGGAGCGGCAATTCTGGTTCTGGAGGAGCTTCAACATGCTCTAGCAAGAGGAGTGAAAATCTATGCAGAAATTCTTGGATATGGACTTTCTGGAGACGCCTCTCACCTGACATCTCCCAGTGAAAATGGTAGAGGTGCAATCTTGTCCATGTCAAGGGCTCTCCAATCTGCTAAAGTCAATGCAAATGAAATTGGATACATCAATGCACATGCCACTTCAACACCTCTTGGAGATGCAATAGAGATCAAGGCTATTGGTTCTGTGTTTCAAGAGCACTGTTCTAAATTAGCAGTTTCCTCCACAAAGGGTGCTCATGGACATCTTTTGGGATCAGCAGGCAATTTGGAGACTCTCTTCACAGTCCTCGCTTGCAATACTGGATCGATTCCACCAACAATTAACCACAAACAGTGTGACTTAGGTTCAAATTTAAATTTTGTACCCAACAAATTTCAAAACTGGAATTGCAACTCTGATGTAAGAAGAATAGCTCTGAAAAATGCATTTGGCTTTGGTGGTACAAATGCAACACTTTGTATTGGTGAATATAAGGCTAAAAAATGATTGCTTCAAATATTAATACAATAAATTTAATGACTTGGATTTTGTTAAACAAGGGTTGTTGCGCTTTCATTCAAATTCAATATTCAGACTTATTCTCTAGTTCCCCAATATAACACAGATCGTACAACAAACAAGAAAACCTTCACACTAATGTGAAAGAGTAAACTAATTTGTTCCCAGTGATTATATCAAAATAATAACAAATGGCACATATAAATGCATGGTCATTAAATTGTACATGGTAAATATTGCACACAGTAGAGTCCAGCTCTTGGGTATGAAACAGCAATTACGCTATTTCAACTTTGCTTATATACATTTAAATGAATATTCAAGTGCTAAAAACTAAATAACATTCATAAAAAAAGGAGCGCAACATATAAAGTTTCTGATTGACAATAAGCTTGATACTAGAAGCTACACACAGACAAAAACAAGCTATCTTATCTTGTCTTTCAATTGTGAACAAACAGCTATTATAAAAACACAACAAAACATAATTAAATTATTTGTGAATCAGTGGAAATCCATATGGTTTCTATTGCTTCCCATGTGACTTGATTTTGAGCCTAGAAATGAAGTCTGCATGTACATCCTCATTTGATCCAGAAAACTTCTTCTTGAGGTATTCTGTAGTTCGAACCTGCAAATTAAGTCGAACAATGTCAAATTTTTTCTTTGAAATCTTTCAGATTTGCCAAGAAAAACATTTTATCTTATGTACTTACAGCCAACTTAATATCCATACAGCCATGCTTTTGAGCCAAGTTCCACAAATTTAGAGCAAGGGTAGCAAGGTCTGGTTTTGATAGATCAGCCTTCACTGCTATACGGATAAGCAGTTCCAAAGCCAAAGAGGACTATAAAAATGAATATTAGAAAATTAGAGTAGGTATGACAGTGGTGTCTCAAATATAAGTTCATCATTTGATAACACAGTACCTGCTTCTGATAGTGTTCATTGGCTCCCAAATATTTTAAGTGGTTAAGAATTTCTTCCACGACCACAGAGCACATTCTATTTAGCTCTGCAATAAATTTGGGATCTGAACCATACAACACGTCATTTGAATCCACTGAAAAAAAAAAAAAAACAAGACAAAAATCTAGTTAGCTAGAAGCATGTTGGAAAATTGTCATTTGAAAATTATGAAGTGAATACCCATATCTATGTGGTATGGATAGGACTCTTGAGAAGCAGCAGAAAGCATATCCAGAACTTGAAGATACACTGTGGATCGAGCATTGCTCTGGTGGTCCCAACTGTAATTTTGTATGACATTCAGCAGGCCTTTGGTTAGGTAAAGCACCCCTTGTTCTGGACTATCCTGTAATTATAATAACAGTACAGCCTTTACTACTTGAACAAGAAAAGAAAGTTTACAACTCATCTAAGCTTTACTTACAGGAACAATTAAGAGAGTTGACAAAAAGTTGCAGATGTATGAAACAATGTAAGGTTCAGAGCTTCTATGTTTCCCATCAACTTCAATCATCTTTGGAACATCAGAAATGAGATTGAGGGCTGCTTTTAAACATGCATCAGCTGTCAGAGGAAAGAAAGAAAATTACTAGTGGTAAAAGATGAAAAGTAAAAAAGAACAGAATATTTAATGTTTTAAGTAAATTTTAAAAGACTATAAAAAAATAAAATTATCTTACCTTGTCCTAAGCATTGATTTAACAATGCCACTTGCCCAGAAAGCAGGTACAATTCCAATCGCATTAAAACAGAAGTTATTGATGGAATTGTGATGTAACAATATGCAGCACAGGCATGAACAAACGAAGCTGTTTTCCTTGTGTGATGACCTTTTACAATGCATCTTGTTTCCACTGCAAGCCTATTCACACTTTGCACCAGCTGTGCATGGATAACATCAAGATTTGTGAATGATGCTCTAGCTTCCACAAAAAATGACAACTGTTGTTCAAAGTCTCTTCCAAAATCTACTCTCTTGACAAAGCTGCAGATCAAATTTCCTATTTGTCGCTTTTCGTCCTCGACTGTTAATGCATTTACTGAGTCATGCATAACACGACAAATGAACATCAGAGCATTTGTGATTACAGGATCATTTGTAGTCTGGTATTGATATGTCTTAGTATAGTGCAGCATGATGCTCTTACACACTTCTACTTTGACACTTTCCTTCTGAAATATATCCAGCATTGGTAGAAATTTGTCCATTGTTAGCAATGTTTCGAAGTCATTTGCATGAGCAAGCACTCTTTCCATGACTGTTTGTAGAGAAGCATAATGATTCTCATATGCACGGCCTCCACTCATATGGTTGATTATGTCTCCAAGGAATGTGTTTACCTCACGTGTGGATAGATGCTTTGCAGCATACTGAACCCAAACTTCAGCACAACTAATGTATTGTGCAGGGTCATTCAATTTTGAAACAATCTTCCAGACATCATTTAAAATTTGTAGACAGTGCTCAGTTGGAGGGTCAGCTAATGTAAGACATAGTCCCAGAGTCCTGAAGAGAAGATACTTGGGGAACCCTTCATCATCACAGCTAGTCAGAAGCTCCACAAACTGAGTAGCTCTTGCAGCAATATATGCAGGCTTGAAGGCTGCCATGATGGTATTGAAAAGTAAAGCACTATTGCATTTTTGCTTACATCGGTCAAGTATTTCTGCAAGGGTTTTCTCAGTTGCCTCATGAGCAACACTTTGCAGGATGTAATCCAACGCTGGTGTGTACAAAGTAAGGTAAGTGGAGAGGTCTACCTTTTGCAGCGACAGGTCCAGTCGGATTGAGGGCGAAAAAAGTTGAGTATATGTAGCAAGAAAATCGTAAAAGTTTTCTCTTAAATATACTCGGTCACTTGAATTGATGCTTAGACCCACTCGGCATAAGTAACATCGAGCATAAACAGCCACAAGAGGATCACCTATGCCTCTTATCATTTTTGTCAGCCTCAATAAAGCTTGTGAAAATTCTCCAGAGGTCAAAAAGCTGTATGATTTCAAAATTGCCATCTCAACATATAAACGTGGAACTAGTTCCCGTATGGAAGCAATTTTATAAAACCAATTACGACAAGTTTCTTTGGCAGATTCTGGAACCATGTCTGCAGTAAAATTTTCAGGCAGACAAGTAGGGACTTTGCTTCCAGGGGCGTAATAATCAGACTTGGTCCTGAGCCGCTCATAAACAAGTTTTCCAAATATATCCAGAATGTCCGTGATAAGAACAAATTTGCTGGGATAAAACTGAATAACTGATGTATCAACAAGCAACTTAGAACATTGAATTGCTATTTTTAAAGCCTTCACTCTTTGATCTTGATGCCAAGCTTGAACTAGCTCTGTATTCAATTGCTCTATTCTGCCCACATACTCCTGTTGCGACAAATCTAACATTTGCCGAACAGAACCATCTTCGAAGTCATCCAGTTGTTCCAGCCGTGTTCTAACTTTGTCAACCATAGAGCTTTGTGCTTTAACAACAACTTTTTCTCCTCCAGACAAGAAACTTGTCACAATAGACAGCTTCTCTGATGTGGTGAATTTGCATAAAATTCCTGCTTTTCTTGATGACCAGGACTCTCGTAATCCATCATCCATAGCAACGCTGGTTGTTACATTTTCTTTGCCTCGTTTTCCCTCAACAGGTTCAACCCACTGCGTAGTAGACAAAATACAAATTAGTCAAATGAAGAATTGAAACTTAAAGTTAAAAATCAGGTTTTGCTGTCAGACTTACAGATTCTGCTGCCATTGCTGACAATGGGTCCAGCTTTTGCTGGTTTGCTAGTTGGCTGAGTGGGTCAGTCCCCTCCAGAGCAGCTCCCAGTGGGTCCATTAAATATGTGGTTGAGCTCTGAGTTGGTGTGGGAGTAGAGGACCTGGTGCTACTGGTTGTACTTCCACCAACAGTTCGTAACTTGACAACACGGGTCTCTGACATCTTTCAGAAAATAACTAAATTATGGAGGAGGTCAACTAATGAGAGGAAAAAGATAAATGACGAAATTACCGTGACAACTAAAGGCTTCAATGGATGGTCCAATACTTCTTCAAAAGGAAGTTGTTTCTTAAGGTTTCCTTGCAGCACATCTCTAGACTTTGACACCCTAAAAAAGAAGGAAAAAGAAATGGGATATAAACCATAATATTTTTAACAAGAAATGGTCAATTTTCAAATCAGATCACACAAACTATTTGAAAGAATTAAACAGTGTCAAGAGTGTGTCACAAAACAATCCCACATCAAGGAAAGAAATATAAAAGCTCTCAAAGAGAGCACATTAAAATAATGACAAACTGGTAAATCAGATTACCTAAATTATTCCCATTGAATGCACAAAACTGACAGCAGGATAGGGTTAGGTAATCAGTTTTGACACTTACCAATCGCACGATAAGCGAGGAGGGGTTGCGCCAGGCATTGCGACTAAATTTTAGACAAGCTCAGAAAATGAAGTAACTTTAGCACGAAAGCAGTGGTTACACGGAACTATTCATTTATTCATTGTGACAAAAAGGTGGTCTGTTTGTTGACTGACAGGACAGGCCGTGTTTGTTTGGTTAGGTCGAATCGAATCGAAATGAATATCGAGAGAAGTCGATTGTATCGAGCACACAGAGGCGCGAAATCTGAACAGGGCTGGACATATTCTTGGTTCCTCGGCTCCTTGAAATTGCCTACATTCAGGGGACAACATACAGCGCTGCGGCACGGACATAATGCGAACTACTGATATGGCGGGAGATTTTGAACTTGGAACATATCAAACAAGGTTTGGGAAGTGAATTTTGATCCGTATGACCTAAATTTCAATGAAGATGCTTCCCATGATTAAATATTGTGGCCTAAAGTTGATCCCAGGCACATGATTGACTACTTTTTGGTGTTCCCAAGAGCTCGGGTTGGGGTGGTCCGACTAAAGCTTTCTCGACATCTTTTATTTTAGACCTAATGTTTTTTCTTGAATTATTGATTGACTATTTTTGTGTTTTGTGATCACTGATCATGTTAACCTAATGTTTCATTAGAACTTCAATGTTACTTCTTCTTGAACAATTGAGTGAAAACTTATTTATGCAGCTCCTTTTTTCTTTGACTTTTTTTGTACACAAATGAAGTGAAAAATTAATGTTTAAAATTTGTATTAATTAAATCTTAATATATACTAACAAATCGTTCACTTGCATGCCCTTATTATCACAGTTAAGAGAGAATTATGGCTGTAGTGTCGATTTCTTTATGAACTGTGATAAGGGCGAGCAAGTGAACGACTGGTTAGTATATATTAAGATTTAATTACTACAAATTTTAAACAAAGGTGAGGAACATTAATATTTCACTTCATTTGCGTACAAAAAGTCAAAGAAAAAAGGAGCTGCATAAATAAGTTTTCACTCAATTGTTCAAGAAGAAGTAACATTGAAGTTCTAATGAAACATTAGGTTAACATGATCAGTGATCACAAAACACAAAAATAGTCAATCAATAATTCAAGAAAAAACATTAGGTCTAAAATAAAAGATGTCGAGAAAGCTTTAGTCGGACCACCCCAACCCGAGCTCTTGGGAACACCAAAAAGTAGTCAATCATGTGCCTGGGATCAACTTTAGGCCACAATATTTAATCATGGGAAGCATCTTCATTGAAATTTAGGTCACACGGATCAAAATTCACTTCCCAAACCTTGTTTGAAATGTTCCAAGTTCAAAATCTCCCGCCATATCAGTAGTTCGCATTATGTCCGTGAGGTAGCGCCACGGGTCGCCGATGTTAGCAGCAGGCCAGAGGAAGCTAGAATTCCAGAGCTGGCAGTCAGTCCAGTCTACTTGACAATGGACCAGGACCTCGCCACCACTGTTTCATTTTGAGTCGTTATTATTTTCAGATTTTCTGGAGAGCGCGATGCTTGTGTTACCCCGCCTCTTTCCCTTCCCTCCCTGGACCCGGTGCAGCCGCGCTAAAGCAGCCAGCCAGCCAGTCGTCTTGACTTCAACCTCTTTGATTTCTGAGGCAAGTCAATCACGGTCTGCGTGGGTGGCAGCACTGGCAACCTACATGCTGGTTCCACTGATTCTGAGCAGCACTTTTGTCTCTCTCTAACTGATGGGGCGTCCCGCGGGGATGTGAGAGAGAAAGAGCGACGAAGCTCAGTCCGGAACCTGCTTGCTCAACCGGGGCATTGCTTCCCTAATCCCACCGTGTGACCACAAAACCACCCAGTGCACCCAATTGGTCTAATCGTCAATCGACCAGGTCCAGGTGGAGTGCGCCATGCACACGGTTCAGTTCGCAGAGCTATCGCCGTTACGCAACCCTCGTGGAGGAATCTCCGGAACCTCCCCGAACAAGCAAACACCGACGCGCCGACGACAGTGGGCGCAAGCGGCGCTGCCTCCAAGACGCAAGTGGACTCAAGTAAACACATGCGGGCCCCGGCCCGGCCAGCCGGCCAGCCCCGGCGGGCCTTGTCTTAACTTAGCTGGCGACTGGCGGCCGAAATAGACGTCGGCGAGACCAAAGCGTTCCAGCCAGAGATGACCACAGCAGCTAGAGATAGGCGCGATAAGCGCTAGCAGCAGGGCCACCTGTCTCTCTCGCACTCTGCGGGAGCGAAACCCAAAGAACACGAAACGCTCACGGTGACGTCATTTTGATGTCAACATGACAAAATTTAGTCAAAATTTCGATTTAAAAAAAAAAAAGGATTATTTTGACGCCATTTTGACTTCCTTTGACGGCTTTTTGAGTGTTTCGTGTTCTATGGGAAGCGGTGTTCGGAATCGGCCGATCCGCGCTGAGAAATGCCGAATGCCTCGGGCTTGCCCTGTGGGCTTGCCCGCGGGGAACGACCAGCCGAGCGGTGCCGGAGAGTCTCTTTGTCGCACTCATGGGGCTCTCCGTGAGGGTGGGAGCGAGACAGAGGCTTTATCAAGTTAAGGATTTTGACCTATTCTGACTCTGTCTGACTCTGACTCAAAGCCCTATTACAACAGTGCTCGTGTGTCGCATCAGTCGCGATCAGTCAGAGTCAGACAGAGTCAGAATGGGTCAGAATCCTTAACTTGATACAGCCAGAGCGACAGACCGCTCTTTTGGGTCGCGCAGGGCCAAGCAGAGCAGCCCGCACGTGTCCCGTCGCGCCGTCGTCATGCGGCGACCGCGGTTCTCTTGCCGATCACTGTCGATCGCGGCCCGGGTCGGGCCGGGTCGGGCCGGGTCGGGCGGGCCGGCCCAGTCATCGCCGCTCTGTCTCTCTCGCACCCGTGCGGAACCGTGCGGAACGCCCCGTGAGTGCGACAGAGACATGTCTCTGTCTCTGTCGCTCTGCAGAGCGACGACGGCGATGTGCGGCGTCCGGAGCGCGTCAAGTCAAGCCTCGCATCCGCCGCACCGCGCCGCACCGTGTGTCGCTCTAGATGTGATATGGCCAAGTTCTCGGAACGGAAACGGCGGCTTGCAGTGCAGCACCGCGCGCAGCACAAGCTTCCCGCGTGACACGTGGAGTGGGCTGTACACAGTGGGCCAGACGACCTGTTTAAGGTTTAAGGTTGGACGCTCAGGAGGCGGTCAAAATCCCGGACGCGTTTTGAGCTCCAGAGTCGCTAAATGGGACTCGAACCGATCGTGTGACCCCACCAATCGATTGGCCTCCGGACGAGGAATCCAATGGTGGGGTCACACGTCCGGTTCGAGCCCTGCTTGGCGACTCTGGAGCCCAACGCGCGTCGACAATTTTGGCCGCCTTCACCGGTCTTCTGGCCCAGGCTACTGCCAAGCGATTCAAAGAAGCCGTCTCGTCTCATTGCTGTGTCTGTCTCTGTCGCACTCAGGCCTCTTTCCCTAAGGGTGCGAGAGAGACACCGAATCGGTCGCCTGGCCGTCGCGATGTCACGCTGCGGGGGAGGGGAACGCGTCGCCGACGTCGCCAACGCCAACACACACAGCAGCGCCATGCCATGGCATTGCACGGCATGCCAGCGTCGCGCGGAGTCGCGGGGCGATATTGAGTCGTTGACGCGGCCAGCCGAGCGATTCGGAAGAGAGGCGCTTTGTCGCTCTGTCTCTCTCGCACCCACGAAGAAGAGCCCTATGCGTGCGCCGAGTGCCGTGCGTTCCCACCAGACGCCCCATGGGTGCGAGAGAGACAGGGCGACGGAACCAAACCGCGCACAGTGGGCGCCGGCGGCGGCCAAAACTCCAGACGCGTTTTGAGCTCCGGAGTCGCTAAATGGGAACCGAACGTGTGAACCCACCAATGGATTGCTCTTTCGAAGAGCAATCCATTGGTGGGGTCACTCGTTCGGTTCGGGTCCCATTTAGCGACTCTGGAGCTCAAAACGCGTCCGGGATTTTGGCCGCCCTCCCCGGTCTTCTGACCCATTGTGCCGCGGTTCAGAATCACTCCGGCGTCGCGCCAATTCATTATTTCGCCGCTGCCGAAGCCAGCCTAATTGTGCGAGAGAGATAGAGCGCCCATAGTGATCCCCTCGGTGGTCTGTGTCTGTCTGTCTCTCTCGCACAAGTCCGACTTATTTGCGAATCAAAAAGTGCGGTGGCCCTCGCGCTCACCTTTGCACCGCCACCATCCTCCATTGTTGTTGTTGTTACTGATGAATGCTGAGCGAGGAGAGGTGGCGTCAACGGTGACCTCTGTCAACCACATTTTCATATTTAAACACACACGCTCACAGACAACTCGTCATGTTTCCCACCTCCGGCATTCTTCGCTATGCCTCGCTTTGGCGTGACTTTGCCATGGCGAGTGCGAATGAGTGCGCACGGTGTCGCGACGGTTGCCCAGTAACAGACGCTCAGCCACGCACAGCCGCGTACAGCCAGGCCCTGGCCAGGCCCCGCCCCCTTCTGACGTTGGACGCAAGCGAACAAGGTTCAAGAAGTCCACGATGTCGCGCGAGTTGGTCCGTGCGCCACTGTAAAAGCTGCTCGCTGCTTTTGGCGAGCCAAGCGGCGCCAAGCAGAGCGGTCCGGGGTCGTCGTTTCGCAGTGAGTCTCTTGGCGGCCGAACCGCGCCCACACAAGAATGCGCGAACGAGCGATTATGGGCAGGACGCCGTGATGAGGTGAACGCTCCGCAGTGGGCCAGAAGACCGGTGGAGGCGGTCAAATCCACTGTGCGCCGCCGCGGGACGAGACGAGACCCTGAGGAGAACTCGACGGCGACTCACCTTCCTCCCCAAGGCCTCCGCCGACGACGCCCCGGCGTCTGGCGTCTGGCTCGGCCAGCAGACCGAATCCGAGAGTCATTTTCGTCGCTATTCGTCTCTCTCGTATTCACGGGGCTGTCCATAAGGGTGCGAGAGAGACAGAGCGACAAGTCGGTCTTCTGAACCGTTCGGCAGGCTCGGCGGCACCGAGGCGCATACCTCTCTTGTCGGGCCTGGGAATCGGCCGCCGGCACGGCGCGTCGTGTGTGTGTGTGTGTGTGTGTGTGTGTGTGTGTGTGTGTGTGTGTGTGTGTGTGTGTGTGTGTGTGTGTGTGTGTGCGCGTGTGTGTGCAGCATGCGCGGCACGGGAACAGGCATCATCGTCGAGGCGTCGCGTGGAGTCGCTGCACCCGGCAGTCGTGAACCGACGCGTGAGCGGTTTATCGCTCTGTCTCTCTCGCACCCGAACGGAGAGCCCCACGAGTGCGACAGAGACAGCGGGGCGAAACGACTCTTCTGAATCACTCCGCCTGTGACTGGAGCGCGGCGCGGCGCGCCTTCATGACCGCCCCGCTGCTCGATGACTGACGGCGTGGCGGCCTGGCGCACAGTGGGCCAGAAGACCGGCGGAGGCGGACAAAA